AAATGTATTTATTAACACATAAAAGACAATCATTTATTTGTTGTGAAGTTAAACCTCTTACATTTCTTATATTTACTGCCTTTTAAATAGCTTTGTGGAAAAAATATACACATACCTAAATGTGCTATTAAACTATTGTCTGTCTGGATCTGGAAGTCCCACAGGATCTTAGCTCTGGCGTTCTCCACCACCTTTGGGGGTGTTTCCCACTTTGATCTCGGGGTTTCCAGTCCATATTCTGCACAGATGTTTCTGTACACTATGCCTGCCAGTTGGTTATGTCGCTCCATGTACGCTTTCCCTGCCAGTATCTTGCACCCTGCTGTGATGTGCTGGACTGTCTCAGGGGCCTCCTTGCACAACCTACACCTTGGGTCTTGTCTGGTGTGGTAGATCTGGGCCTCTATTGCTCTGGTGTTTAGGGCCTGTTCCTGGGCTGCCAGGATGAGGGCCTCTGTGCTGTCCTTGAGTCCAGCTTTTTCCAGCCATTGGTAGGATTTACTGATATCAGCCACTTGGGTTATTTGCTGGTGGTACATCCATGTAGGGGTTTGTCCTCCCATGATGGTATCTCTGGCACCTCAACCTCCGTTCCCTGTTGTCTGAGACATTCACTGAGCACATTGTCTGTTGAGGCTTTGTCCCTGATGTATTTATGGATCTTTGTTGTTTCGTCCTGGACAGTGGTTCTCACACTCCTTCCTTGCGGCTTGTGTATATATATGTACAAATTTAAAGTGCCTAAGGGCTAAAGTCTTAAGTCTAGGGATTTATTCCTTGATGACAGTATTTGTATTCATTCTCTAAATATGCTGCTTGTAGTTGGATGTGTGTTTTTCCTGACTGCGGCTGCAGATACAGTGAGTCGGATGTAATCCCCTGCTCTGCAGAAAGCTCCAAAGAGTCAGCAGCAAAGTAAGTAACTTTCCTAATGTCCAATTCACACAAAACAGTCAGACAGATAGAAAAAGACTATCTATGCTCCCTAACCATTGTGATTTTATTTGTAAAGCTGCTTTGCTTTTTAACATGTGCTCTGGTTGTGTCTCTGCAGTAGCATGCAGCCTGATTCCAGACTGAAGCTCGACTTTCCCAAATGGTCAAACGATGGTGAGTTACACCATGTGGAAATAATGTACTAGATTTTTTTTCTCAAAGATTTTCTTCTGAAATGCTGGATCACGAGTTTAAAATTTTTCAAAGTGTTTCCGTAATCATTTATCTGTTTATTTCTCTCTATCAGGGAGTCCTTCTACAAGTAGTGGAGAGAAGCAGGACACTACCGTAGCCGGTCTTCCCAGAACCTGCAGGAATGCAGAGATAGAGCCGTAAGTTGGGCTTTTCAGCATGTCATCAACTTTCACTTTCAATATTTACAACTTATTGCTCTTTAGTTGTGCAGCACTCAGGAAGCTGCTTGATTTATGTCAAAGTGACGACAGAGAGTGGAGAGTTTAATCCTCTCCACGGAGCTGATGTTGGTGGTGCTGTCCCATTTCCCAGCATGCACAGGGCGAACGGACAGAGTGAAACATTTTCAGGTGTGAAGGAGCCAATTAGAGCTGAGCAGGTGTGACCGTGGCTTTCTGCAAACCATATTTTGGCGGCTCGGTTCTCCATCAGAACAGACTGGCTGCCCCCTCAGCATGATATACAACACTGTATCAATGTGATGATCTCATCCATCAAGGTCCTAGCAGACCATGCAAGCATGTACGCATGTTTCATCACACTTAATGCATTGTGTCCCGCCTGTACAGTCTGTTTGCACATACAGTCTATCCTGTAATTGTGTGTCTGTTTGTGAGCGGACAGCCCTCCTCCCACACCTCCATAGGCCCTGTCTCCTTCCTATGATAAATGAGACAGCCAATGCCGGCAATGTGATTGCTGCTAAATTTCATGCTCAGTGTCCATGTTGGCCAGCGAATAATTTAATCTGTCTTCAATTTTATAAATGACTCTCCAGTGTCAGCGTAACTCAAGCACCTTTTGCTCTGCCATGCTGTTACTGAGCGCGCTCAGCTCTGAGTGTGTGCGTGTGTGTGTGTGTGCCTCCAGGCTTTCAGAGGACTCCACGCCGACAACCCTGGACGCGCTTAAAGCTCGGATCCGAGATTTGGAGAAACAGCTGTCTAAAGGAGACAGATTTAAATGCCTCATCTGCATGGTGAGTATGATGGCAAATTAAACCAACAGAGCAGAAATGCGGGAAGGAAAGAGAGCAGCAACTCCAAAACTGCTGAAATCCCTGCAGGGATCTGTGTTTAGGGCTATGAATCTACATTATTAGTCCTGGTGTTTCACTGGAATATAAATATGGCTCTTTTGTTTAATCATATATGCAAGTATCATCAACTGGTTTAGATTTAGAAGCCTTTATTTCCATAAAAAAAATGTAGATTTTTAACAGAAATATTTAAAACTTTGAGGAATTTGCCTAACATTCCACCTCATAGTTTGTATGTCATTTGTATGCACTGTTTGAGTAAAACAACAAAAACTAACAATACTTAGGCTCTGAAACCACATACCATTTGAAAATAAAAGCGCATCTCATCGAAGAAAAAAAAACATGTTTTGTCTAATTTTCTTTTCTTCTTCTAGAAAAGAAATTAATTCCCCCTTTTCTAAAGGCTTTAAAATTCTGAGCTACTATCAATGTTTCAAAATTAAATTATGCTTTGTTAACAATTATTTGTTCCAATAACATCTCGTCTCCTGCTTCTTCCTGGTGCTCTTTTTTCTTAATTTCTTAAGGACATCTAGTGGCAGCTTTTCAAACTACAGCTGTGTGTTTCTGTTTGCCTGCAGGACACCTACACAACACCGCTCACTTCCATCCAGTGCTGGCATGTCCACTGTGAGGAGTGCTGGCTGCGGACGCTGGTAAATCCTCCGATTATGTCCACTCACACAAACAGAAAAATTAACTCTGGAGACATTTGTGGACCGAAGACTTCTTTCTGTTTCAGGGAGCAAAGAAGTTGTGTCCTCAGTGCAACACCATCACGTCGCCCGGAGACCTGAGGCGGGTCTATCTGTAGCTTGCGGGAAGAGAAGAGGGAAATATCTCAGTTTCAGCCAATCAGAGGTGGCGATGTTGGGGCAGCTGGTCTGCCCTGAATGTCGGCCTTTATGCTCCTGTTTTTAAATGAACTGCTAACATCCTCTAATGTCCTCTGACCTGCTCCCAGGTCGACTTTTGTGCTGCAGAATGAAACATCAGCTGAGAGTTCAGGCATTATAAATGCTTTGAGAAAGTAATAATTTATTTTTTTTTTTTTTTTTGTCTGTTTAAAGGGGAAAATGTTGAACTCAAATGGACTGAAAGCACATGTACATAGCTTTGTGTATGTATGTATTGAGTGCTGTGTGGTCATGATGTTGACTAGCACAACAGCCTGGTTGTATTTACTGTACAGACTAATTAATGTCTTTGTTTAGTTTCTTTTATATTTGTCGTTTGTACTATTTTAGGTTTCAAATGTTCCCTGTAATTTCATCTCAATCAGTCACATTTTGTCTTCACCAACACTTTGCTTTCAGTTGCTTTATTAAATGTACTTTTTATCAACATTACTACATTAAAATGTGTCAAACACTTGTTTTTCTGTGTATAATTTGAAAGGCAGATATTCTGATATTCGTCAGCCTCCCCCTGTAAGGATCACTGGATGTGGTGCGGTTGCCCTTTAAGAAGTGAGTTGAGCAGGATTAGCCAGATAGAGCCTAATGCAGCGCATATGGAGGTGAGGCACATTAAACCTTTGCTATTTTGAGCCTTTGAGACCAACCGTGGCCTAACACCTAAACTTTTGAGCCCAGTGAATAAACAACAAAAGATTTTCGCATCTCAACATTTGAAAATATTAAGGAAATGAGAAACATCTGACTTCAAGTCTCCAAACTAAACTCATGTTACCAGCTTAAGCCTCCAAAACATTCTCCACTTGATTGCTATGTAAATGTGCAGCTCATATTTCTGTTGAATTTAAGAGGAAATATGTAAATCCAAGCTAAAATGTATTAGTTCATGTCTGCATTCTGCTAATGTACACAAAATCGTTGCAAAGACAAAGGAACAAAAGTCAAAGCAGGTTTAGTGTGAGGTCAGGTGAAACAATGTCCCAAGTTCTCATTATCACAAGTCAGATGGTCGTAAGGCTGTGATGCAGGGACATTTTCTTTTCCATCAGTGACAAGAAAACTGGTTAGAGCAGAAAGAAGCCTGTAGGAAATGATGAGGGACTGAAGGGCAGGTTAAAATTTCAGTGGATACTGACTCTGAACATGCAACCGAAGCTACAATAGAATGGTTTCAATAGAAACACATTCATGTGTAACACCTAAATCCAACTTATAATCTGTCGCAATTTGTGAAAAAAATGGTGTTTCTGAACACCATTCATCAAATCTGACTGAGTCTGAACTGTGTTGCAAAGAAAAACAGGCAGGTTCAGTCTTTAGAGGTGAAAAGTTGGTGGAGCTGCAACTGCAGGGTGATTATAATAAATGTTGACTCTGGGAGGCTGAACATAAATATATGTGCCAAAACTAGCAATTTTTCATTTGAATAAAGTTTCAAAAACAATTTATCATTTTCCTTACACGTTAGAATTATGCACAACTTTGTGTTGGTCCATCATGTAAAACATCCAAGAAAACATATTCAGGTTTGTGGTTCTAATGTGACATGTAAGAAGTTAAACAGCATAACCAGTTTTGCAAGACATTCTGCCAATAACACCTGTGCTTCCCTTTACCATCAGCCATCATCTGCATTAGCAAAATCTCAAAGCACGTCTGCAAAGTAACCCTTTGGTTTGAATTTGAAGCCACAATCCAGGAAACATTTTGATTCTTCACCAGCAAAAGCACAACTGAACGAACAATCATTGGTTCCTGAAGATTAGCCTATCTTATGCAAAGAGGGTGATTGGTCATTGAGCTAAATGGAGATGGTCGTAATTCAGACTGACAGCTGCTCCAGTGTGACACACACACACACACACACACTGGGATTGCACTCAGTCCATTAAGACACCAGGCTTAAGCATTGCTTGTTGCTGAACGTCTCTGCAGAACAGACGATTCAGGCGCAGCGACAAAAGGTAAGATGGACTCTTCACTAAACTCCTTAAATCTAAAGTCAGACTAAAATATGGGAGTAAAGGGACAAAATAATATACAGTAGTGCTGCACTATACAGATACAGAATCACAGCTGTATCTGTGATTGATGACCAGTACTGGTTATTGTGGAGTATTTATCCACTGATAAATTACAATTGTTTTGGGGGTTGATTTAAATAAGTGTATTCGATGTGTCGCTGGAAATAACATGAGTGAATCTTCATTTTACAATATGTTGAAAGCAGCAGCTTACTGTTGAAATTCTTCACCAGCCTTTTAATTGTCTTTAATTTATACTGTTTTGTTCTATAAAAGACTGTAGAGAAAGATCTACTAAAATAACTGATAAACCGCAGTAGATATCACTATATTACCATCAGAAATAAACATTAAGCAACTAAATAATAGTAACAACTAAAGGTAATTGAGACCTCTTAGAGATAATAGAATATAATTATGTTCTTATGCAGAGACTCCTGTGTCATTACGTTAGTATGTTAATTGTTTTGGTATCCCTGGAACATCGTCCTCTCTTTGTGGCAGCAGGTAAATAGGCCACCTGTCCCAGATCTAATTAATCCTGCTGACTGACCCATCATGACTTCATTAACAGCCACTCCTGATGTTACTACCCTCAGAGGCTCTGGCTGTCTTACAGGCCAGCTATTAGGACATAGAGTAATTGTTTAATTAAAGAGAAGTTTCTTCATGCCCAGCGGTTGCTAGCAGGGATTGAAATCCTCATATTATCAGAGCAGCAGCTTGTTTTTAACCCTCTGTGTGAATTTGCTCCACCTGACAGCGCAGTGGATCAAAGGATTAACCTCAGTGCACTTTAGGACGGGTAACAGGATAGCTGCTGAGCTTCAACGCCGAGGAGAAATGGCTTACACAACTCAAAATCATGGCTTTCTATTAGTGTTTTTTTTAATTAGAAATTTAAGCACACAAAAAGAGTGCGTGGACAGTCCACACACTCTTTTATTGTGGTACCGACAATCCTGAGCCTTTGGTGTTTATTTCAGGAACAATGTCAGGACCGAGGCCCGTGGTGCTGAGCGGCCCGTCTGGGGCAGGGAAGAGCACCCTGCTGAAGAGGCTGATGAAGGACCACGAGGGAGTGTTTGGATTCAGCGTGTCACGTATGTCTGTGTGCCAATTAGTGATTAGCTTCCATAACATGAGCCTAACCAAAGGAGGAAACAGTGCCGACTGTCTAACTCAACAGATTCTGTTATTAAGCTGAAGATGTTTGCAGCATCTGGTTGATGATCTGTAAGTGCTTTTTAATGATGCCATGCTTTTCTCAGACACAACAAGGAACCCTCGACCAGGGGAAGAAGATGGCAAAGGTACGGAGGCTCTGGCTGCAGGATGGCTTTTATGGGTGACACTTTCTGTAGCGTCTGCACAAGGCATGGGCCGGTATGGGATTCCCACCAGCTAATAAAAAAAAAAAAAAAAAAACACGGTTTCATTGACTGTATTTAGACTAAAGTTGAAGACATACATGTGTAACATGATCAAATGCCTTTCATTTAAAGAAAAGAAGAGCAACTTCAATTGCCCTTGAGATGATGAAACATTTTTTTTTTAAAAATCACGACAGAAATCAGATATTTTTATGAGCTATTTAAAAAGGAACAACCTTGATTCTCCTCGCTCGCTGACATTAAACCAGACTAAACCTTTCCTTTTCCAGGTCAGTGAGGATTACCAAAATTATTTGCTAAAAACAATTAGATTTTTTTGCAGTTTTGCTGAACTTTCTTTAGATTCAGAAGTCATTTAGTAGAATTGGCTTTTAAACTGCATGGCTTACTTCAATTATTTTGGGTCTCTTTCCACAAGTTTCTCACCATAGTTTGCTGGGATTTTATCCCATTGCCTCCGACAGAACTGATGTAACCGAGTCAGGTTTGCTTTGCTCACACACAACTTTTCAGCTCTTTCCACAAGATACCGAGAGGACCAATCTGCCCTCCATCAGAATATCCCATAATATGGAATACTTCACATTTGGGATGATGTTCTCAGGCTTTCAACCATTATTTTACAAGAATCACTTGAGATAAAATGTCTTTTTTCCAAGGCTGACCTGTCCAAAACGTAACAGTAGATTCATCAGATCACTGGGCTTGTCTCCAAATATTAAGATCATGAGTGCATTTGATAACAGTAATCTGTCATCATGTCATCTTCAGAATAATGGCTTCTTTTATGAGTGACCTTTCAAACCAAGTTGGATTCTTTTCATTATGGAAAATCAAACTCTTACCAGCTTGTTATGTCTGCAGATGGATATCTACAAGGAGGAAGCTGTGTGTGAATATTTTAGCATTTCTCATCTTGTAAAGGCCATTATGTTCCCTACAAATACTTATGTTGTGAGGATCCACTACTCGTTATGGGGTCAAAAGTCTGGGTCCCATAAGAAGAAGTGCAGTTTTTGGGTTAGGAGTTAGATTTAGCTCTAAGGTGTGAATTGAGTTTAGGTTAGGTTTAGGGTTAAGCACATACTGCGTAGACGTAGGGTAAGGCTCTGTAGAGAAACTATAGAAATGAACAGAAAACAAGAGAGAGTCATACTGTCTTAGGAGTGAATAAAATTATGCTTTGGGATAAATGAAAAGGTGGCAAAAAAATAAATAAATTACGTAATTGGCACCAATCTTATTTGGCGCTAATCAATTTCTTCCTGAACCGTATGATGGTGAACAGTACCAGGATGTTTCTACTCTTTTCTTTGAGGCACCTTTGGGCATGTGAAAACTGAACCCATGGATAAACCAGTTTATTTACTTGAAAATCACTGAAACCTTAAAATATTTTGTAGAATGTAATGAAAAGGCAGAATTTGTCTTTCTTGTCAGTAACAGAAAAAGCTGCTGTTATTCAGCCAGCTGACCAGCAGTACGCAACAACATAGGAGGAACGATCAGCTGTTTCATGAAGCAGGACAAAACTCTTGTAAAAGACTGTAAGCCATGGGTTCTAAAACTGAAGTGTACCTTGACACCTGCATCCAGCCCATGCCTAGTCGGCACATGTTTGATGTTTTAGCATTTTAACGCTGTGTTAGCATCACCTTGCTAACACACAGTGACAACTCACGACAGACATGGACTTGAATTTGAACCTAGACGGCTGTCATTAAGAGTGGATTTCCCTTCCCTTCCCTCGCTACAACAGCACTACGACACTTCTTACTCCCAAGTGAACTGCACAAATAGTTTTTGTCACCTTGTGTAATCCCCTACATATAAAGGGATAAACCTCTTTCTGTGCCTTTTTTTTTTTTTGCTTTCTCCATAGGACTGAACAAGCTCCCCATGCTTCTGGGGGCTACTTTACTGCCTGTAGCAGACGTCTTTTCCTCTGAATCCTCATTTTCGTGTCCAAACGAATCAGAACACAAAGATAAAGGTGATTTTTATTACTGTGATTCATCATCACAGTTTGTTAAGATAGAGAGATGGGGGTTACTTTCATCACCCTGGCATGCTGTCATTGGATTTATAAGGGAATCAGTCATGATTATGCAAATTGTAATAAAGAACAGGAATCAAGATAAGACAGTTTACACTTTGGAGTAAAAAGCTTTTGAAAATAGCCCCCTGTGAAGCCTCTTTAGTGTTTCCTATTTCCAACATCCCATAAAACTGTTCCACCCTCCACTGTAGCGAAGTGAGCATGAACCATTCACATCCGACCGCTAACGTCATTAAATCAAGGTTTACAAATTCAAAAAATATCATACTCTTCATTTTCCTTTTCTGGTTGTAAACGTATGACTATTCTTGAATTCTTTAAGCTGTAATTTAGCCAACTTAGGGCTAAATATAATCCATTTTTTAAAATTTTAATAATATTCACTGTTTCCAGCTCACTTGTCATTTCTCTTTGGATCGTATTTAGGTCCAAATGCATTAGTTGTCATGTTGGAGATTAGTGGTAGAGGTAGAAACGTGTTTTCTTGCTTCGGAAATTTTGTGGTTTTAGATACCGAGAGATTTTGACACTTGAAGAATTTAGATCAGTGGATCTGGCATGGCCATAATATTTTTCTATGACTTTTAACGTTTTTATTGATGGGAACAAAAAGGAACACCATTATTGTTTTTTTTTTATGTTGATATTTGGCTCATAGTGAACAATGTTTAGGTACATATTTACAGTAACAAATAAAACATTTGTAAACTTAGCTTCAATTGATCAAATTTAATGTGCACCTGATTTTTTTTTAATTGGATGTAATCCATGTTTTTGAGCATTATGTCTATTATTTTCTAAAAGCAGAGTGTTTTCTGCCAGATCTCGCATTATAACTGATGCTGCATCTTGCAGACTACCACTTCACAACAAGAGAGGCCATGCAGGAAGGCATCGACAACGGAGAGTTTATTGAGAATGCTGAGTTTTCTGGCAACATGTATGGAACAAGGTAACATATGTCATGATGTTTGCAAAGCATTTTTGGCACATTATGAATTCAAATGTTTTTCATGGAACATGTGATTGATGCATGTGTTTCTTTTATATACATATTTAGGAACATTTATATTCAGCCTGGTTTTCTTTGATACCCCTAAATTGAAAGCAGTGCAACTAATTTACAGAGGTGGTGGCGGCATCATGCTGTGGGCAGCAATAGTGGAATTAAATCCAGGGCAGTCCTGGAGGGAAAAAAAAGCATTATGATAACATTAAGGACATTAATGTTGTAGCATCTCAAGAACATTGATAAAATGATTTTAAGTAAATATTTAAATTTTTTAATGCAAAGATCTGACAAGAAAGCAGTTAAGTTAGCTGCGATCTGCTGTCCCTGTTTGACCAACACAGGTTAATCAGCTAAATCTCAAAGAGTGGGATTTGACCCTCACTCATCCAGAGCTCCAGGTGTGCCTTAATAACACAGGGAGGGCATTAATCCAAAACAAGTTCAGGTGGGATTCATTATCAAAAAAGGTCTACTCCAAAACTTAGATCCTTTAATATGTGAGTAAAAATAGAACGAGAGTTAAAATCTAAGCACCTTTAATGATGACTCATTCAAGCACAGGAAACTTGTTTTATGAATGTAAGGATACCAAAGCAAAAACTTATAGATACAAGAAGTAGGGGTTATAAAAAGAAAAATGAAGGAAGATTTATTAAAAGCATGAGGGAGTTACAGGTTCACATATCCTAAGTGACAGATGGAGCTTTAACCTATGAGTTAAAAAGAGCACCACAGCAGCTTAGCATCTTATGAGTCACCTTTAATCTCTCCTTATTCTGAAGATAACTTTCACTCACTGAGTCTGAGCAGCTTGGATCAATGCAGCGATCCTCTTACCCTTGCCATTGCCTTTGTAAAGAGCAAAACTGCATAAATGCATCCAAAACCTGTTTAAACACAATCAGATCCTCCCTGTTTGGTATCAGTTGTCCTTTCTTGCTTTCAGTAAAGCTGCTGTGGAAGATGTACGAGCTAAGAATCTGATCTGCATCCTCGATGTGGATATCCAGGGGGTGAAACGGATTAAAGAGACTGATCTGGACCCCATCTACATCTCCATCCAACCTCCATCCATGGAGATCCTGGTAATGCAATCCACATATGCTTGTGCATCAACATTGTTAGACTCTTAATTAAGCTGGTGTAGAGCTGGATCAAAAATAAATACAGTTTCAATTGGCTTGTGAAAGAGTTTTTAATGTTCTGATTTAGGAAAAACGTCTGAGAGACAGGCAGACAGAGACGGAGGAGAGTTTACAGAAACGTCTGGAGGCTGCACGCATCGATATGGAGCTTAGTAAGTTTCTTCACTAACCTAACAAAACACCTCAAAGTAAAAATACAAAAGGCTAAACAAGATTAAATTACTTTTAGGTAAAGAGCCTGGAGTGTTTGACATAGTTATCATCAATGATGACTTAGAGAAGGCCTACGAGGAGCTGAAAGAAATCCTCAATGAAGTATGTAAACCCTGGAACAGTGGCTTTTATCGGTTTGTGCTTCTTGCACACGTTGCAGTATTTTATAATTTCTCTCCTTGCAGGAAATCAAGAAGGTCCAGGAGGCCAAATGAACCAAAGACAATTACCCACTTGTTTTGCTGCTTGTGACTCTGATCAGAATAACTCTCCCAGAGAATGAACACAACCAAAGAAAAGAGCAGAAAATATGTTTTTTATTATATTTCTCTTTCCATTTCTCTGCGTCTGTGCCGTTTCCATGCAGGTAAAGAAATGCAAAAGTCTGGGTTGAAATGTTTTCTTTGCTGAGCAAAAATTTGTGTTGTAGTTAGCTGAAGAAAAACAGGTAAAATGTATGTATTAATATCTTAAAACTGTATAATTTGAAACTTTTTTCTGGCCTATATTAAACACCTTTGGCACTTACAAACTTGTTATAGCAAATATAGGCTTCAGAGTATAAGTTCTCAGTGCTTTTCAGCCTATTTGAAGCATGAATGTTCACTATTAATTGATGGGAGATATTTTCATTGTAGTCAGCCTTTGAAATATCTATCTTACAAAAAGCCAACTACTAAGGAATGAGATGTATGTATGGATAAATGTATGGATGTACGGACGGATGGGCAAATCATACTTTCATAAACTGCATAGAAATCCAGTATTACATACTGTATTTATGCATACTTTTGCTGAACACTAATATAAAATAACTAAAACCTTTCTTCACAGAGAAGACTTTGTATTTTGTAGATTTCCATTCATGTTCAATATCACATGTTTATATAGAAATGTGGATCAATAAAGAGATTGTGGACATTAACAAAGCACTTCAAGTGTCATTTATTATATTTTTTCCATTCACTTCAAGACAGGAGGTAATTCACAAAACACACATTTTTCTATTTATTCATTGCAAACTTGTGAGTAATAAAGTCTGGAATATATTTCTGAAATGTTCTCTTCTTTTCTTAAAACAAACAAAAAAGATGTCACATGTAAGACCAAACGTGCGTCCATTTGACACTTTAACAGATGAAGCAGCAATTAAAACCGTTCAACTCATGCATCAATGTGCAGTCCTAGCTAATCCCTGATATGATTCCATCAAAACTAGATAAAAAAAAAACTGAGACTTGTTAAGACGCATTAAAGTCAAGATATTTCATTTTATGAAACTAATTTTGGTTTTGTTTAACAGAAGAAAAGTCACACCAGAAAAAATACAATTGCATTAATGTCTTTTTTGTTTACAACAAAGAGGTTTTGTGTTTGTTTTTTGTTTTTGTTTTACCTCACTGGAAGAACGGCCCCTGATGTTTTGTGCACACCTGATCTCGTTTCTCCTCTTTCTGCTTGAGGTAAGCTCTGAGCTTGTCGGTGGAGAAGCACACTTTGGAGGGTCGGACTTTGTGCGGAGCCCGATGGGCGCGCAGCCATGGGTTCTGGAGACACTCGGCCGCTGTTGGTCTCCCCCTGCAAACATTTTTCAACCTATCAGAACTGTGTGTTCTCATCAATATTTCATATTTTTTAAAAATCCAATCTAATCACTAACAATGAGAGACACTCACCAGGATTTATTGTTCAGGCTGTTCTTCATGAAATTTAAAGCTCCTTCTGACAGACCGGGGTAACAGCGGCCAAACTGTATCTTTCCTTTCTTAATGTTTTTGTCTTGCTCCCAGCTGTGATCAGCATAAAAGGGACTGTCGGCGCTCAGCCTTGTGGTGAAAATTCACAACCAGATAGAACAATTAGATATTTTGGAGCAACAAATGATGCGCTCTGTCTGTGAATGTCTTCAGTTTTCTTAAATTTTTCCTTAATCCTGAAGAGATCTTAAAAAATAAATCCCCAACAGCTATATATCATTTCAGTTGTTCTTATATTTGACTAAAATAAAATAGAAGCTTATTCTGTGGGATGGATTTTTACACTTATTTTTTTCAATGCTTACATGATAAAGGACAGGACTCCAATGGCCCAGATGTCGGTCTCCGGCCCCACACCCTGACCCTCCAGGATTTCTGGAGCTTTAGGAAGGACAATATAGACTGATAAAAGCAGAGAGAAGCAGAGTATTGTCCATTAAAATACAATTGAATTTATTCTACTTTTAATATGCAAAATGGTTAAAATTGTAATTGGATAAAAAATGAATGATAAATGGACTTAGTTTTGTTAGATTATGGTAGCTAAGATCAGCTGAGATGAAGTTAGGCTCTGTTATTTCCATCCATCCAACCATTCAGCCTTTCTTCAGTAAAGAGCACCTTTTCTGCAGCAGCCTGTTGGAAGGCCATGACAGTCAAACATTGAGTATGTTAGATCTTAAATCTTGCAAACAATAGTTTTGCTTGTAAATACAGATGTAAAAAAAGAAGAAAAAAAACCCCACACTGCTACCTTTGCTGTCTGAGAAGCCGTGAATGTGCTCGATGTTGAGAGGCTGTCCGGGTACGAAGGACTGAGCAGAGCCGAAGTCGATGATCTTCAGGTGGTTGCCGTCATCCACCAGCATGTTGTCAGACTTCAGGTCCAGGTGGATGACCCGACGGCTGTGAAGGTAGTCCGCTGCGCTGACAATCTGATGGAGCAGCTCAGCCACATTACTCTCTGCATACAGGTCTCTAAGGACGGGGAAACATATAATCTCTGAGTTCAAATGAAATCTAACTAATGCAAAGTTTCTAGGCAGGTCTGTGTTTTCACTGAGATCATTATATGAGTTCCTTGAACTACAATTTAAAGAAAAGACAGAAAAGGGTCCCATTCTAGTCTTAGTATCTAAATAAAATGCTTAAAGTGTTTGAGCTTACCTTACAGCCAGACTGTGCAGCAGCTCCTTGCCGGGACACAGCTCCTCCACCAGCAGCACATACAGAGGGGTGATGAAAGCAGCATACAGCTGAACCAGGTGGGGGTGGTGCAGCCTCCTGAGCAGCTGGTACTCCCGCAGCACCAGCTGTCTTTGCTGGGCCTGGTAGGGAGTGATCTTAGCAGCAAATACCTGACTGGTTTCCACATCCCTGCACAGGGTTATGACACTGAAACGACCCCTGAGAGAAAGCAGGAAGTTTAAAAGAAGTATGTCTTTAATTGGAAGGAACAACAGATAAAGGTCTATTTTAAATGAGTTGCAGATGCACAAAAACTGTAACTCCCCCTCCTTTTTTAGCTTCAAAAATTCATTTTTGAAGCTAATGGATAACTTTGATCTCAACAATCATGTTCAGATATGAAACTGCTGAGCAAACATAAACAGTCCTATTATTGCGAAACAATTTTTTGCCATCAGTGACGTCTACCTGTTGATCTCAGACAGGAAGCTGTAGTTTCTGTTTACGGTTTGATGATCTGATCCAGGTACTTTTGACCCGATTGAGTTGGTCTGAATGAGAGGAATGCGGATATCTGCAAAATGATAAAAATACAAGAAGGATTATTATCTTCTACGTGGATGTACCCACAGGTTTAAAAACTGTGTATTGTGATCTATGAGAAGAAAACTTCAGGAAATGATGAGAATAGCTTGCAACAGCTAACGCACTGTGCAGCTTTTAATACCTTCAGGGTGAGTGGACATGACAATGGGAGCTGAAGCTTCACTGAAAGGTCCTGCTCCTGTCCTGGTGACGCAGCCCACCCTGAACACATATGACGCCCCTTTCGGTAAGTCCTTCACTACGTAGCAGCTGTCTGTCACCTCATCTGACAGGACTGTCCATTCGCCACCTGAGGAAACACACGGAAGTCTAATCCAGGAAAATAATACTAAAAAAAAAAAAAAAAAAAACAGCTTTCAAGGCCTCTGAAAAAGCTTTTATTAAAGTTTGCTATAAAACAACAGAATGAAAACAAAGTGATCATTGTAAACACTGGGAAGCACAAGTACCTGACGACATGTGGATGTTTGGTTTTTCAAAGTATGGAAAGAGTAAAAATGCAAATAATAAAGAGATTTTGAGATGTTTTGCTTTATGTAAAGTGAAATGTAAATTTTCATCTGAAACTGAAACTCACCGTCTGAACAGTACTGCACACAATAAGTGACCCGGTCATCAGACTGGACCGGTCTCCACACCAGCAGGACTCCACCTCCGTCCAGCAGGAGCACCTCTGCTTTGCTGGGACGAACTGACATGATTATGAAGAAAATAAATTCAATAGATAAAGAACTTTTCCAAAAAAAAATAAAAACAGAAATGTTTCATAAATATATAGAGCGTTTTCTTGTTACCTTTTATCTTTTTGAACGGTGGTATTTTAAAAGATGAGAGGAGCTTTGAGCTTCTCTTTTTGGGGGTCTCAAGACCACTGCTCTGTTCCCTCTCAGCTGGGATGGCAGTAGATCCTTTTACTATCGGCCCTTAAAAATTCCCAAATATTATTCCCATGGTATAAACAACAAACTACATCCTTAACTTGGGATCATCTGCAAGTAAAACTCAACTTACCTCTACTGACATCTTCCTTACTAGAGGACCTGGAAAACAGTTTGGTCAGACTGGAGGCTGAAGCTCTCATCTTCTTCCTCAGAGACATTGTGGGCGTATCGGGCTTCATGATCTCTCCCAGTGTGGGCCCCAGCTCCGTGTTGTCCAGCTGGGTGTATGAGTGGCCGGTCCAGGACTGCCTGCGGAAGATCCTAAGGAGACCCAGTTTGGGGGACTTTCCAGTCGGTGGGCGCGCTTCCAGAGCTGGAGCAGATGCATGCCTTTGGAGCATGGAGCCCTCTTTCTTGTCCCGGGCTCTGGGAGGCCTCTCAGGAGATCCTAGAGAGCAGAGGCTTGGACTGGGACTCGGCATTGAGGGCCTCTCTGGCTGACCTTTGCTAATTGTAGATAAGTTGGGATTGGACCGGGTTCGATTACGTGGTGGAGGCTGAGGACGGGAACTTCGAGGTTTTATTTTCTGAAGTGGGGTAGGAGAGGGTGTGATCAGGGGTTCACTGTGTTCATCATTTTCATCACTCTCTCCTGATCGGTTTCTCCTTCCAACATGACCGTGACTGAGCTCGTCAAAGGAGTCTATTCTACTTGAAGACTCAGATCCACCATGCTCCAGAATAAAAGACTCAGCCAGAGATCCCTGGGAGCTGGTCAGAGTATCTCCTTCAACCTGGTCCTGACCCAGCCTGGATCTCATTCTCCCTCCAGCAAGGAACTCCATTGGAACAGATGATCCACTAAATACTCCTTGTGTCAGAGCGACTGAGCCTCTTCGTCCTGAGACTTTCTGAGCGTTCTGGATAATTAGTGAGTTTCTCCCAGCTGCTTCACCATCTGTGGTTTCTTCCTTCATGCTGTGAGAGGCCTCTTCTTCGTGTGCGCTTTCATGGCTGGCTGAGCTGGGAGATCGACGGGAATACTCGTCAAGAGACCTGCTCCGTCTGTGTGGCGGTACATTGGTGTGGGAGAAGCCCATCCCGTCATCAAACGAAGACGACTTCTGCATGCTGGGCTGTACGGATCCCCGTCTCTGCCCGCGGTTACTCTCAGGTTCATCCTCCACATATTCAATCAGAGGCTCGTTGAGCCGTCCCGAGAAGCTCCTCCTGAGAGGCTTGCGGCCTCTTTCCTGCTTCTTCGCCTGGAATTTGTCCCTCAAAGTCATGTGTCTCGCAGACAGAGGGGAAAGCTGTTGAGAGCTGTTGTAGAAAGTGCTTCGGATGACGCTTCCTCTGGGAATGCGGCCTCCATCGCTACCTGAACCCTCGTCGCCATCAGACAGGTACAAAGATTGGTTGCTATCCTTGCTGAAGTGTCGTTCCCTCTGAGGTGTTTGTTGGTCTGTTGTTGATGATGACGCGACCGATGCTCTGCTCATGCTGCGCTCGATAACACTCCTCCTTTCTCCCATTTCTCCATCCTCATCTTCCCCAAAAGTCCCTCCCTCCTCCTCCTGTAAACTTATGAGGCATTTAGGATACGGCTCCAAGATCTGTGGCCTCTCTGTTAAGGGGTCATACTCTTCTTCTGTCTCCTCCTCCTCTTCCTCTGTCTGGCTGCAGTGCTGGAAAAAGTCCCAAGAGTCAGCCTCATCATACTCTGACGAGGAGCCACTGCTCAGGGAGGTGCTGCTGTGCTCCTGTGGCTCGCGGGGCATCGCAACTGACGTCTCTCTGAGAGGAGCATCTAGCAGCTCAGGGATGGGCCTCAGTGTGAGCACAGACCCGATGGATGTCAAAGAACGCTGAGGAGAAAAATTGAAAAACACTGGCTAAATGATTTGAAATACCTTGTGATAGCAAAGAAAACGTACCTTACATTTGTTGAAATGGTTACAGTGTCTTGCAGAAGTGTTACCCATTCTTAATGCTTACATTTTGTCATAATAAAGCCACAAACTGTCTTTTGTGGATTTTTTTTTCTTTGTAATACGAACACAAACAAATACATAAAGGTTTAGATAGCCTCAGACATCTGTATATATTTGGACAGGTTGTGCTAAAATCCAAATTTCTCTCTGGGATTAATAAAGTGTATTCATTAACTGATTCATTCATTCATTCGGATCTCAGAGCCAGTTTGCCCTGTAGTGCCTGCCGTAGGGCAGCAGGTCAAACAGGTAGTAGGTGGGATGAGTGCTATCTCAGATGATTTTCACAGCCAACAATAGACCTCTGTAGCTCCTCCATGGGCCTCATGCCTGCTGCTCCAACTAATCTTCTTTTGATTTTAGCAAATAACTCAGACACACCTGCCACTTCCGTTTAGAGATGAAGACTTTCAAACTCCTTGTGTTGATTTCATCAGTGTCCTCCCCTGCATTTCCATCCTGTGGGAATAATCACAGATAATGTGTCAGAGCTTATTAGCATAAAACTTACAATGTTCTGTTTTTTTTTCACCTGAAGCCACTCATGACTCAAGCACTCAAAGGCAGATGGTCGAGTCCTGCACAACAAAACAAGATATCATTGTCATTGACTCACATAAAACACGTGAGCATCTTTTGAACCAGATTACATGGGCATTTATATTTAGGTTTGTCAGATGGATACACACAATACAGCAAGTAATTACTGGCATCCCCGGAATAAATGTGATAATATGGGCTTCATCATCTCACTCTAAAAAGATGCTGCATGTTGTTTGACCTGTTAGAGATGTTTTAGATTTTTTAATTGTTCACAATAGGAGGTTTGGATGAGTAGCTATATTATTGCTATTTCTTGACCTTTACGGATCAGCGCTCTCCTCTGTCGCTGAAAGTGATGTTCTTCTGTCTTTTCCAATTTGAGTAATGTTAATAATTTTGGAATGAACAATTTTAAAATGTTATTTTTGAAAATTAGTTTGTTGGGGGTTTTTTTTGCTGAAAATGAAATATTGATCTTTGTAAATTTTCTGTTCTATGAATGAAGCCCTTAGTTTAAATAGTAATATGCTCAGCAAAGACATAGTTAAAATTAGTATTACAAATGTAAATGTTGCAACTTAACTCGTCGTCTCTTTTTGAGACTGTTATCTTTTGTTTTTTTTTTTGTACTATCATAAAACTATTAAATCCATTTTCATTTAGTAAGCCTCTTGCCATATTTTGTTTTAAAAATAAAAAAACTACAGAGAAATGCTCTAGGTGTAAGGCTAGTGAAAAATAAGATAGCTGTTGTACTCTGGATCCGGTTGAAGTACTGCATGGAGAAAATTCCTGGCTTCTGGGCTCCTGCATACGATGTCTGGGGCATCCCAGTTTAAAGTTGCCTCTCCCACCCTCAGCAATGTTGCACGGTCAGTCTCGCCCACAAAGGGGCAGCGGCAAACCAGACTGTCAAGACAAAACATTATGGATGAAATAATTAGAAAAAACATGTTCTTGTGCTATTTACACACTTTTAACTTTTATATTTTGCATAATTCAAGTGTATTTTTGAATATCACTGAATACATACCACAGAAATGTTATGACACCGACAGCCCTGATGGGACAAAGTATGAGATATAAAGAAAACGTAACTTTTTGTAGTAGTTATCGTAATACATCAACAGCAACAGATTATTAGAGTTCAGTAGAAACAATTCAATTATTTGCAGGTTATAGCAAATTCAGGACACATAATCAGTTAATCTCACCAAATATCCGTGGCCACAGTAACAGGTTCTTGATGTACAATCTCAGGTGCAACAAACTCTGGGGTACCCAACATACTGTACTGGTGTCGAGATGTGTCTATTTCCTGGCAGAAGCCAAAATCACAGATCTTGATCTCATCTTTTGGTGGGTACACCATTAATATATTTTCAGGCTACAAGGAGTAGAAAGGTATTCAGTTAAGGCAGAGAATCAACAGAAAACCTAAGTGATAGTTGACAATGAATAAAAATCTCACTTTGATATCCAGATGCATGATGTTCATGTTGTGAATGTGACAAACCCCTTCTAGAATTTGTTGGACATAAAATTTAACCTGAAATAAAATAATATTCACCAATGATCATTCTGTTTGTAAAGTTTTGATGATTTAGTCAAATTGAAATTTGGGCTTGTACCTCTTTTTCTGAGACAGATCCTCTCATCAATAAATGGTCCAGAAGTCCATGAGAACAGCAGCTGGAGATTATGTTAAGATCAAGTATGTAATCAAAGCCATATCTAGTTTGGTAGTTAGAAAAGGAAGGATACATTTCTGTGATTAACACCAGGGTGCGTCTGGTGCAAAAGAAGTCCAGCAGGCAGGCCACTCTGGGGTGAGCGAGGCGAGACAGAAGATCCCTCTCCTGGAAGGCCCTGGTCCGAGAGCTGCTCCGAAGAGGCAAAAATTTGGCAGAAAACACTTCCCCTGTTCTTCTGTGGATGACACGCTTCACCACCCCAAATGTCCCCTAAATCACAAAAAAGAAAACAAATATGCTGTGCCTCAAAAAAAAAAAAAAAAAAAAAAAAAAAACAACAACAACAACAAAAACAGACATCTAATATCCAAAAGAAAGTGAATAATACCTTCCAATTTCCTCATGGACATCATAGACTGAGAATAATCTCCTTCTCTTTCCCAGCTCCACTTCCCTCTCCTGAGGAGCAAGCGGACCTACAGAAAAACACTTGGGTGGCAATCATTGTATATTCTTCAACTTCCTTAAGAGTACAAAAGCTTGCATTATTCATCATACTTCAGCTGCTCTACTCGTTCATTTTTAATAACGTTATGATGAACTGAACCAGTGTAAAAATGCAGATTAGAACTGCTGACCTTCCTCAACCGTTAGCTGAGCTTCACAGGAGGCTTGGCCTGAGTCGTTGTGAGTGAAGCAGGTATATATGCCACTGTCTTCTCCTTCAGGGCACAATATGGTTAGGCTACAGCGAGCACCATATTGGACTATTTTCACATTCTCATTGGCTGCAAGGGGCTCCTGATCCTTTAGACAGGAGAGAATCAGCTTTTACTAGAAAAATCAATGATTTCATGTGATCAAACATGGCATTAACACTTCTTGGAGTTTTTCACATTACAACCACAAACTGTAGTGTATTTTGTTAGGATTTTATGCATGGTATACTTAATATAGTTACATCCTATAACTGCAAACACACAAAATACTTTCATAATTGCAAATCTAGTCCTCTTTGCAACCAATCTGGTTTGGAAAACTCTCCTTACTGACTCTTTACCTTATACCACTGTACTTTAGGTGTGGGTCTTCCTGTGATGATGGCCATGAATGTTGCTGGTTGTCCAGGTTCAACACACAGATCCTCTGCAGGGACCTGAACCGAAGGAGGAGCTGAGAAGAAAGCTGTATCAGTATTTATTGATGCAACAATTTATTTACTTAATTCTGCTTTGAAAAAAATAAACTACCATCTGTTATTTCGTGCAAAGCCTCTGAAATGTAGATCTCTTCTTCTTCTTCCACATAACATGAAGGCTGCTGTACTGCAGATGGGTGAATGTCCACAACAGTGCTGTATCTGGTACTGATAGGTAAAGGTGCACACAATGTGAAGGGGTCAAAGTACTATACTAAATATCACTTTTAAAAAGTCTAATAAACATGGACAAAAATTATTATAAGGAAGCAAAAATCTTGACAGACTCTAGAATTAACCAAATATGATGTCATTCTCATTATTGTTCATATGAAGAAAGATTAGTGTGAACACTGTTTCCTTTTTCTAATCTCATTATCTTGATGAGGAACAGTTATTGTGGTAAAACCTGCACTGCCACAATGTTTTAATAAGGTTAGTAGTTACTACAGCTCAGGTATGAAAATGGTAAAATACAGTTCATGTAAATTATAATAATAAAAAAATCTACTTACTGTTCAGAAGATCCAGGGGGAAATTGTGTCTTGGCAATAGAAGAAGGGCTGAAATCAGTCTGCAGCCATTTCTTAACAAAGGCAGTGGACCAAGCCTCTGAGTGAGCTTCTATAAAAACCAAACCATCAATTAGGAAAATTTTCTACTTAAAGAATAATAAATCATTTGAAAATGTTGTGATTTATTTTTTACTAAAAGTGGAAATAATTATTTTCCAGGAAGCACATTACCTTAAATTCCAGGAACAGCAAATACCCAGTTTGTCTTACCTTGAAGGGTCAGCGTTTTACCCATCTAACCCACCACATCAACAGGACATGATCACATGCCCACTCCTGCACGGGCAGGAAGGATACACTCGCCCAGCACATGACCATCTTGAAGGAGTGGAGAGTTAGCTGGGCATGCGTTGGCAGGAAGAGAAAGGGAGTGTTGAGTGGTTATTGGTTATCATGAGTGTGATGACTTTCATGGAACAGTCCATGTGAGGAACCTTCTGCTTTGGGACCAGTGAAGGGAAAATGGGAAACATCATGTAGGTTATAGACAATGGGAAGACAAACAAATATGGTATGAAAAATACAGAAGTACAATTCACTTAAATTCCATTTAACCGATGTATGATCTGCTTCACAAAAACACTGACATGAAGTTTTCAATATTATCCTGTTCGCCGTTAGCTTTTGGCACCCTCAGACTGCTGATCGTTGCTTAAAAACATTGCAGTAGGACCGCATAGTGTAATCTGTTACAATCCATGCCCTCTGTAAAAAGTGAAAACATGATGAAAAGCATTGAATACCCCATCCAATACATTTTACAATGTGTTTTGTGGATGTTGGGGAAAACAGTATGAATTCTACCATGAATGATACCAACTAGATCCCACATATTATGGATTCAGGGAATATAGGTAAAGGTGCAATTGTTATATTTAATGTTTTCTTCCCAAGATCAACATTCTGCCTGCAAAAAGTTGTATGTGTTAATTACATGCACATTAGCTTCCACACAATGGAGAAAACACAATAATCTGTGCTCTCCTTTGCAGTATTTGTTGAATGAACTGATTGGTTTTACATGTGAACAATAAGATCCCATTGTTCAGAATGCAAAGCACTTTGCTATAGCTGAAATTTACCAGAATACACATATAGATGAGATGACTTAAACCTAAATGCATGCTTAGTGTTTCATTTAAGTGCAGGAAACTACATTGTTACATGGAAAATTTGTGAGTCATTGAAGGTTATTTGTGGCTGAGTTCATTAACAAATATGAGTAATACTTGCAATGAGAAGCAAAGTCATGCATTCAGAAAATATTAATTAGCCTTTTTTGATCTGAAAAAAAAAAATATCCTGAAATTTCAAATAAATTAATTATGTTGGTTACTTTTTGATTAATTAGATTAGTTAATGTAAAAGAAATAAGAATACTAGAAAATAACAACAACAACAAAAAAGTCTACCAGACATTACTCTTGATAACAATCAATAGTTAGGACAAGACATACACCAAGAAATTGGGTGGCAGCTGGAATTTGATAATTTTCAAGTTGATTGTCTTGGATTAGTGATCCACCAAGTGGTAAAACATAAGAAGAAGATATTTTTCAAGCAAAATGATCTTGGATACAAACTGCTGGGACTAGTAGACCAACACCTTTCAAAGTAGCAATGGTACAGAGAGAAGAAAACTCAAAGCTAGATATCTTCAAGAGCAGTATTTTGTTTTATAAATAATGTTTTGAAAGCTCTAGGGATCTTAAGAATTAAAAATCTAAAATCCCTACAAATAGGTGAAACCTCTATATACCATTATGATTGGTGCATATTGTATTTTAAATTAAATGCTATGCAGGTTGCGCCCTGTGCCATAATAGTTTGGAATCTAGTCAAATGGTAGCTGGAGCTATGTTTGATGAAAGAGTGTATGAAATGTGGGGAAAAAATGTAAGTATGTGAGTAATATTTCAAGATACAGCACACTTCATGGAGTTTATGAATGGTAGTGCGCAGAAGATACTGACCAGGCCAGATTTATGAATATTGTAAAGAGATGTCACATAATGTGATGGAGAAAGGGTGATAATGTTGGAAGTGAAACTTGATAATGGCATGTGCTTTAACCCTTTGGAAACACAGCTAGTCTGCTAAAAGGATAAACCACACATATGAAAACGCTGTCATGGGTTTTCACATGGGTGTTGACTCCAGTGGCTCGGACAGTCCTACCTTTAACAGGTAAGTCCTGTGATTGGTCACTCTCACTGTCAGCCAGTGGTACAAAGGCAGGACAAAGGCCTGCTTTGCATTTGACACAGCCAAGTTCATTCCAAAGCTAAGGAAAAGAAAACATTTCACAAGTAAGTGGCACTGTCTGTTTTAATACTATTCACTCTCCGCTAGTATAAGTAAAGGAGAAATGTGTTTTATACCTCACACTCATACTGTCCGATATCTGCCTCTGTTGCTCCGATAACTGTGAGAGACAAGATTCCGCTTCGGGCGTCGTTCACAATGGAGTATTTGTTGCTGTCAGTCAGCTCCTTTCCATCTTTCAACCATCTGCAGGCAGAATCATTTCTGCTGTCAGCAGACACATGGCCATCAGCTGTGACATGTAACATGATTATCTGTGTTTTGCCATACCTGATTCTTGGTAAAGGGGTTGTGAGAGTGGAACATGAAAACTGGATCTCCTCTCCGTCAATCAGACAAGCACTTTCTAGTCGGCTCACAAATCTTGGTGGAGCTGGAGAAAAGAACAAAGTCAACGTAATAACTTGAAAAGAAACAAATAAAGGTAGATATGGGGTAAGAATGTCACTAATATTTGACCTGGCATTTGTCATGGTAAAAAAAAATGGAGTGGTAAATACAGTATAATTATACTACAGGTACAAGTAGCAAAACTGCATTGATCGCTTACAAAGGGTCTTGTAACAGGATTACATTTGTTGAATGTCTTCACAGTTCGACATGTTACAATTACAATCTACACCTTACATGTTACAATTGACTCACCTTGCACAACCACCTTAGCCAGAGTGCCAGCACTGCCCATAGAGCTGGTTGCATAGCACATGTACTGACCAGAGTCCTCTGCTGTGAGGCAGTCCAGGACAAGACTGCATGTTCCTGACCGGTCAGCCGAGACGATGTGCCGTGGGTCATCCTCCAAAGGAAGACCATCTGTGAATCAACAAATCAGACTTTACTCAGCAAAGCAAGTGTTGTTTACAAAAGGTCAAAATATGAAAAAAAAAGATTTAGAAGTTTTAAAGTCATGGCCCACATTTTCCACCTCTAAACTGTAAATACTTCAAGAAGAAAGTGAAGAAATGCAAACCTTTGATCCAGCTGACCACTGGTTTTGGAAATCCCAATACTCTGCAGGTCAGTTTGATTGTCTGTCCAATTTGTGTTGAGCAATCACAAAGCAGAGACTCAAACACTGGAGGGCCTGATGATAGATGATAACATAAACAGAGAAATGCTCAATAATTAAAAGCTATCAAAACTTCTACTAGCTTGCTAACATTTCTGAAGAACGTAGAAGGACCTACAGTTATTGCTGAGGCTGGAGCGTTGCTGAAGCTCCTTCAGGTCTTTCAGCCAGGACAGCTTAACCAGTGTGGAGTTGCTCTGCAAAGTGTAACGCCGTATAGAGCCTCTGTGCTCATGCCACAAACCCCAGGACCTGTCTTCTCCACCCACAGTTTCTTTTATTTCCACATCATTCAGCTGGGGAAGTTGTTGAATCAAAAACACCAAAATAAAATGACAGCAGGTACATTGGCATCATGGTGAAAATTTGCTTCACGAATGATAGAATATTGTGGTGGAAAGAAGGCAGATGTGCTGCTCTTACCTTCATTTTGTTCTTAAAGCTATAAGTGTCTTGATTCATGCTGCCATCTCTCTTCACCCTACACAGTACAATGCATTCCTTAAAGAGAAACACTTGTCTCTGATGCCCCCTAGAGGTTGTTTTTACTTCTGGAGATTCCTCCCACACTGTGAAGACCCCCTAAAGAGGTAAAATAATAGTTTAGGGACAATTGCGCTTAATATTCTGAAATTACAAGAAGAACTAAATGCTTTGACACAGAGACTTGATATTGTGGAAGCATGAAAGTCAAAGGTCTTTATTTGAATTGCTACTCTGCCTTGGGATCGGAAAAGATTTATGTGCTTGAAGAAAGCACATTTTTGACCAAAAAACTCTCACTAAAAATAATGTTTAAAACCCAAGAAAAAAAATGGCTCTCTTTTATCCTTACCTGTCGTACAGGCTCGCCCAGAGCAGTAAGAGGAGCTGGATAGTTTTCAATCAGAGATACTCGATGAAGGTTGTCTGATCTCCAGGGCAAACAGGACACCACAGAGAAGGCGTCCTCCAAAAGGTAGCTGCTTTGGCCACTCTTTGCTTTGTTCTTGATCAACTCCTGACAATCAATCAATAACTGGTTAAAATTGGTAAAAGCAGAAATATGAGTTGAAAAGCTAATATTGTATATAAAGAGTTTCTAACAGTAGTCCATGTTTTCCTCATGTCTTTTTCCCAGAGTTTAATTTTTATATTCAGCACATGCAGCCTTTTTTGGATAGATACTTTATACTTTATTATCACATTTCCATTAAATACCTAAATCAAACTGTAACTGACTGGAAATATTGATCATCTGATACAGTCATCTTCAATCTTGTGTCCAGCTATGCTATGGTATAGGAGCTAATGCAGTATGAACTTAAATATTTTCTCCTTGGAAAATCCCAATTGAAAGATAAATAATACAGGTTTTCTGCATCACAAAGGTTCAAAACCCTGGTACCTTCAGTAAAGCCTGGTAAGTTTGAATCCTCTCTACTGGTTGCTGCAGGAAAGTAAGGACATCCATGATCGGGGCATCACCAGGCTTCTCAGGTGCTGTTATGTCCTGAATGATCATTGACAAGAAATAAGAATTAGGCTGGTGCAACAAAACTCTCTTCTAAACGTTAAATATTGTGAACAGGCATGAGGAAATAAAAAAAAAATACTTTGAAGTATTGCTGAACAGCCTTGTCACTGATGCAGGCCTCCGCTTGTGCTTGCCCAACCATGTAGTGAAGATACTTTTCAAAATGTTCAGTGTGCTTGATTAAATGCATGGCAACATCATCATCTGTAACACACTCCCTCAGGCCAGGGAGGATGGAACTGAAAGTAAATGTATTACTGAGGACTGTATTATGGCCTTTTCTTTCAAAAATAAGCCCAACAATATTAAAAGAAGTATGGAGAGCTGGTTCTATTACCGTTCATGTAAACCGACAATATCTTTGATGTTCCTGAAAATGATTTCTTTCTGGTTGAGGATGTTGATGGGGACAAGATGGCTGCAGTCAAGATGATTGAGCTGATAAGTGATAAACAACTTCATTGCCTTTACAAACTCCTCTTCTCCATCAATCAAGCCTTGGATCAGCTGACTAAAGATTTCAGGAAGTACAGAAAAATTGGAAGTGATGCACTGAAAATCCTAGTTTGACTTAAGTCCAGTAAATTCTGATCACAAATGTCACAATATCAATGTGTTATGAAAAATAAGAAGAACAGACCTCAATGCTCTCCTGTACTCTTCCCCTGTAGACCCAATTCCATCGAGATCCTCCTGAGCAACTCTCCTTTGTGGGAAGGTTTCCTGTTGGAAATGAGAGCCAGGCATTTATCATAAACCCTGTCTTGTCTGTGCTGGTAAGTGAACAAAGTTGAGGGATATATAAAATGTGTTTATGTACAGTTGATACCAGATATTTTTATGAATAGTACAAAATTTTATCTCACTGTAAGACAAATTCAAATTGTAATTCAAACTTATGAAAAGCTTGTGGAAGGACACCAAAAATGTTTGGCATACAGTTCAGGCAATTAAACTAAGTAATAAGGAAATTAATCTAAACTTCTGAATTAAAAATACCTAAAAATCTATTTGTTAATTTTCTTGCAATCCTATCTGACCTATAACAATTATATGGTTTGTGTAAATGTATGAGTTCAATTTTACATATAAACTTAAAACTATTCACCAACAAAATTTGTACAACTTACTTTTCTCTTCTTTTCCAGATAGGCAGGACACAGCCATCCCTGCCGAGAGGGGTTGGTTTTGTTTGGTTTGGTCCTCACCAACCATCTGTCAGGATGAACAGAGTCCAGGACCTCCACAAACTGACCCTCTTTAAGAATAAAACTGTCCTTACTTCCAATGTTAGGACTGCAGTCGGCTCGAGCTACATATATTTCAAATATCTGAAGAAGAAAACATAAAGAAGATTAGACTTTAATGCTAAGATCATTTTACTCATCTGATCATGACTTAATTAAATCAAACTTGCTACAAATATGATTAGAATGTAAAATGTGCCTCTCGTCTGTCCTCTTCACCCTCCGACTCAGATCCAGACACAGTACTTGTTAAAGGTGTGTGGGATCGATGGTGCTTTGGAGATGGTGTTCTTAGCTTAATATCATGAGGTCCTTCAAATTAGAACAGAGGAACACTTTATTTTAGTAGCACAGTAAATAAATCTGGCAGTAGAAAAGCAATAGTAAGATGGAAAGAAATATTGCTGTATGCATATTTAAGAAAATGCATACAGCATTTTTATGTAAAAGCTGCTGTATTAATAATGAGCAGACAGAGATCTTTGTTAGTCTGCTTTGTACAGTTTCTGAAAAAACAAACAAACAATGGTTTGGATTTGGAGAGACTGAAGGTCTTGCATTAAATGTAACAAAACAAGCCAAGCGAAATTATCTAAAATGCCAACATCCAGTGACTGGCTGCCAGAAAGATAGAATGATGCAACTTTATATTTTCTTTGTTCTAAAGTATGTTTTTGTTGTTGTTTTATCAGAAAGGTAAGCTGGCTCAGGTGAATACAATCTATTTATCAAGTTATTGGCTCAATGGTGACACTTAGTGTCCATGCTGGGAAACTGCCGCTGATGTGAAAACATTTGCGGGACACAACTGATAAATCTGAATGTTTTACCAAGAAATATCATCAAGCATATTATATTTCACATATGAAACAAATCATTTTCTGAAAAAAAGAGTCTTTATTTTTTTCAATTCTGGGATATGTGTTCCTATTTATTTGTTTTTTTTAATATTCAACATATTATAATTGTACATTTCAAATTGTGAAGTTATTTTTGAAATAGTTGTTTGTACCTTGTCCCAGCAACTAAAAACACAAATGTATGGGAAACACAATTAATTTTGCTGACCTTTAACATTCAGCAGTTTCATAGGAGGTTTCGGAGCAGCTGTTTCTTCATTATTATCCTTTGGCTGCATTGTGTCAGCTGATTTTGGTACTTCCCTGATACAATATCAATGAAAACCAGTTTAGTTACAGGAGCACAGCATTCAAGATGAGCATTAAAATGTAGGGACAATGTAAGGAGAACTACCTTGGTGTCACTGGAATAGTCTCAAAAGGCTCCATTATATCTGGAGCTGTGTCATACTCTGAGGGACTTGACACTGTTAAAGATAGAAAGTTGCCAATTTATATAATTCAGGGTTTGATTTGAAATTGCATGGCTTAGTGATAGCCCTGTTTTGTGCGTACAACTAAAAACCAAATATGCAACTTACAGGAGCTGACAGCAATGAGTGAAGATCTTCTCTCTTGTAGGAGTGTTTGTTTGTTCTGTTCTGTCAAGATGTAGGCATCCCACAGGGAAACACTCACACTTTCTACATAATTTTCAGCATCTGAAGTTGGAGCTAGCTCTGACTGACTCTGAGTCAGACTTTGAGTCTGTGTCATGTCCTGGGAGTCAGGCTTTTGTGGAGCAAGCTGCAAAGGAGTTATGGCTGCTAGTGGTGGGTGTATAGGTTTCTGGACTGCAGGAACAGGTTGCTCAGTCTTCACTACAGTTATGTTTCCATTGTAGGAGATCACACCAAACTTATTTGCCACCTCACAGGTATAAACTCCGCTGTCGCTGTTTTTCAAGTTTTTAACTACAAGTGTGCATTCTCCATTTTCTGTTGTTTCAACCCGGCATCGAGGATCATTCATAACATGTTGGCCATTTTTCAACCAGCGCACATTGCTGGGTCTTCCATCCACAACACACTTTAATGTAAGTGTACCATGAATATCTGCATTCTGGTTCTTGAATACCTCCTTAAAGACTGGTCGCATGTCTTTGCGAGCTTTGTAGCCTTTGAATGCTGCCTGGATCTTAATGGCAGCTTCTTGCATTTCGGGTTCATTCTCTATGTTGATGTCAGTCTCCAGGGGAGACGGTTCTGATGGTTGGATCTCCTGGATAAGTTGGTGTCCTGTTTGTATCTCGGGAACAGCAGGTTGGAAGTGGTTTTGAGGAAGCTCAGTTAAAGCCTCTGAGAAAGTTTCTTCTTCAGAAATGTAGAGCAGAGGAATGTCGTCTTCCATCTTAGTTGACTGTGTTTCCTCCACTCTTCTTATTGGCTCAACAGCCAGTTTAATTTCAGGTTCTTTCTTAATTGGTTTTACTGGTTGTTTTACGGGTTGCTTAAGGTTATCTTCTGCTTCACTATCAGTTGTGATAGACTTACTTCTTTCTAATTTTAAAATGTTTTCAACATCTTTCTTCAAGGGCTTTTCAAGCTGTTTGTCTGTCTTCTCCTCATGGGACTTTACTCCAACACTTTTAGGCCGTATATCATCTTGATCTGTCTCTGTGTCCCTGGACTCCTGTTTTTCCATTCCTATTTTTACCTTACTCTTTCTCCTCTCAGGTGGTTTTGGAGGTGCAAATTGAAGGATTTCATTTGCCTTTTCTGGATCTTCTATTAATTGCTGGTTTGCTTTGTGTGTTTGTGTCAATATCTTCTCTGTGAACTCTTGCCCATTTTGTCTCTCTTTATGACTTTCAAAATCTTTAAGAGAAGTCTTGATTAGTGGAGGAATTGTATCCTCTGTTTGATTCATAATAGACTTGAGTGATTGCTCTCCATATGCTACCTTTGCCTTAGATCTTACTGGTAGTTTCAAAGTCTCCCCTTCTGTCTTTCCTACTTCACCTTTGTTTTTTGAAGGTTCGACATCTGTGTTTATTTCTTTCCCATTAAGCTGCTCCTGTACATGTTTTTCATCCTGACTGTTTCTCCAAATTGTTTTTGCTTGTTGAGTTATTTTCTGTTTAACTTCATTTGCTTCTTCTGAAGAGTCTTCTTGTTGTTTAAACCCCTTTTCAGTTTCAGATCTCTTTTCTGTCTCTTTCAGATCAACCACTTTGTTACCCTCAACCCTTTCTGACTGATTTACTGAAGGGATGACTTTAACAAATGTTCCTACATTTCCTCCTGGTTGTCTCTTTTCTCTAAGATCATCTTCCGTGCCCAGAGGTGAAGCTGACTTTTCAATCCTCCTGCCAGCCTTATAATCCTTCTCTGGTAGCTGAATTGTCTTAGCCTCTTTCTTGTGCATGTCACTCCCTTTGTCTTCACTCCTCTCCACTTTCGTTCCATTCTGAGCAACATCCAAGTACTCTACTTTAGATCCTTCGTGTTGGACACCCTGTTGGACTTCATTATTGATATTCTGCACAGACACCTTTACGTCAAAAACGTGTTCTGTGTCTTTTTCAACAGAAGTAATAGATGCTTTCCTATTTGTCCTCTTCTTGGGCTCTGGGGGAATCTGGTTGGGATCTGGAAGCGTGGGCCTTTCATTTTCTGAAGCGGGAGCTGGTTTAGGGATAGTACTTTTCATCTGTGTCAATGATGTTCTAGGCTTTTCCTCTGATGTAGGTTTTGGTGTTTCACAGAAGGAAAACTCTGGTAGCTGAATTGTCTTAGCCTCTTTCTTGTGCATTTCACTCCCTTTGTCTTCACTCCTCTCTGCTTTTGTTCCATTCTGAGCAACATCCAAGTACTCTACTTTAGATACTTCATGTTGGACACCTGTTGGACTTCATTATTGATATTCTGCACAGACACCTTCACATCAAAAACATGTTCTGTCTTTTTCGACAGAAGTTATAGATGCTTTCCTATTTGTCCTCTTCTTGGGCTCTGGGGGAATCTGGTTGGGATCTGGAAGAGTGGGCCTTTCATTTTCTGAAGCAGGAGCTGGTTTAGGGATAGTACTTTTCATCTGTGTCAATGATGTTCTAGGCTTTTCCTCTGATGTAGGTTTTGGTGTTTCACAGAAGGAAAACTCTGGTAGCTGAATTGTCTTAGCCTCTTTCTTGTGCATTTCACTCCCTTTGTCTTCACTCCTCTCTGCTTTTGTTCCATTCTGAGCAACATCCAAGTACTCTACTTTAGATACTTCATGTTGGACACCCTGTTGGACTTCATTATTGATATTCTGCACAGACACCTTCACATCAAAAACATGTTCTGTGTCTTTTTCGACAGAAGTTATAGATGCTTTCCTATTTGTCCTCTTCTTGGGCTCTGGGGGAATCTGGTTGGGATCTGGAAGAGTGGGCCTTTCATTTTCTGAAGCAGGAGCTTGTTTAGGGATAGTACTTTTCATCTTCGCCAATGCTGATTGAGACTTTTCCTCTGATGGAGGTTTCGGTGCTTCACAGAAGGAAAAATAGTATTAACATTCTTAGAGTAATCATCCAAGATTAAGTAAAAAAAAAAAGATACACACCTTTTATTTGTACTCTTGCAGACGTTTCTGCATTTCCGACGTGACATGAGTACCTACCACTGTCCTCTGAACCAAGCTTCTTGATGTTAAGCTGCAGGAAACAGCCGTCTTGTTTCATCTCATACTTCTCGCCGGCTCTCAGAGGCAGATTATCTTTTTTCCACAGTACAGACACTCCAGGTTTGGATAACTCACAAGACAATGAGGTTGCACTGCCAACCTCTGCCTCTACACTTTGTAATTCTTTGATGAATGAAGCAACCTCTAAGTGGATTGGAAGGAAACATAATGTACAGCATCATACAAGTGTGTGATACAATTTCATGGCTTCATTTTTTTTTGTGTGTGTACTATATAGTCAGTTGTTTGTTGTTACCAAACCTTTTAGAGCAACAACTGTCTTACTACATACTAAAGCACTATGTTCTATCTTGCCATGTATATTGTTGTCAGTGAAATGCATGTTACACTGAGTAAATATGTGAAATTAAAGCAGTTTTTATGAATGGATCAACTCCTATCACATTGCTGAATATGTGGAGCTTTATATGGGATTCTGATGTGATCAATGCTCGGCCTGTCGCAATAAACAATAAATCAATTTATAAATTAAAAAATAATTATACTGTCGCACTTCCTGCAGTAATTTCTGACAAATACTATGTTTGAGAAGAACTGATCCTAAGCTAAGTCGATGTAACCAGCAGATTGAGAAAAGCAAATTTTAAAAATGATTGATAATGAATGCCCAAAGTTAAAATAAACACACCTTTAACTGCTACACTTGCAGTGCTTTCTGCACTCCCTGCTTGGCATGTGTAGCTGCCACTGTCCTCAAGTTTGAGATCTTTGATGTTAAGCTGATAGAGGCAACCATTTTGTTTCATCTCATGCTTCATGCTGGCTCTCAGTGGCAGCTTGTTTTTCTTCCACAGCACTGAAACCCCAGGTTTGGAAATTTCACAGCACAATGAAGTCATCTCTCCTACCTCAGCATTCATATTTTGTAACTCCTTGGTGAAGAACACAGGAAGTTCTGTAAAACAAAAGAATGTAATTTGGGGTGTTTTAGTTAGGATACAATTGACTTTGTTTCAAATTGTTTCATAACAGACCTTTCACAGATAAAGTTGCAGTGGTCTCTGCTGGTCCTGCCTGGCAAGAGTAACTGCCGCTGTCTTCAGGTTTGACATCATTAATGTAAAGCTGAAAGAGGCAGCCTTCCTGCTTCATCTCATACTTCCTATTTTCTCTCAGAGGCACATTGTTCTTCATCCACTGAACAGAGAGTCCAGGCTTAGAAACTTCACAGAAAAGTGAGGCTCTATCTCCTTCGTCTGCCTTTATGTTGCGCAGATTCTTCTTGAAAAAAGCTGGGAGTACTGGGACAGATAAAAAAAAAAGTAGAATATTTAAATCAGCAAATAGTTTGAATTATTTGTTTTTAAGCTTATTTTAACAGCTAAAATTCCTCATCAAATTCCACTTAGTCTTTGGATCATCACCTCTCATTGTCACATTAGCAGTCGTCTCTGAGTTTCCTGCTTGACATGAGTAGCTGCCACTGTCTTCAAGTTTCAGGTCATTGATGTGGAGCTGGAACAGGCAGCCATCTTGCTTCATTTCATACTTCCTGTTCGCTCTAAGAGGCAGTCTATTTTTCTTCCACTGCACAGACAACCCTGGTTTAGATATCTCACATTGCAGGACAGCTGCACCTCCTTCGTCAGCCTCCAAATTTCTTAATTCTTTTTTGAAGAATGGGGGCGTCTCTAAGGGCAGATTTGAGAGAAAAATATGATAAATTAAATATTCTCTGTGTTAGCTCAGGTAATTCAGAACTACCTCAGCTTCACAAACCTTTCACAGACACGGTGGCACTTGTCTCTGCATTCCCTGCTTGACACGAGTAGCTGCCGCTGTCCTCAGGTTTCAGATCTTTGATATGTAGATAAAGGATGGAACCTTCTTGTTTCATCTCATACTTCTTACTGGCTCTTAGCGGTATCTTGTTCTTCTTCCATTGCACAGACGCTCCAGGTTTAGATACTTTGCAGCATAAAGTTGCTGCTCCACCTTCATCAGCCTCCATGTTTACTAGCTCTTTCTTGAAGAAAGGAGGAGGTTCTGAGAAAATATGCAAGAATTAAAATTTCTATCATAATACTAAAAAACATTTAGACCATTTGATAAAACATTGCACAATGAATACACATATGAGGCATTACTGAGTTAACAATTTTGTTGTTGGTTTAGCCACCTTTCACTGTCACAGTGGCTGTAGTCTCTGCAGCTCCAGCTTGGCATGAGTAGCTACCACTATCCTCAGGTGTGAGATCCTTGATGTAAAGTTGGAGGAAACAGCCATCATGCTTCATCTCATACTTCCTGTTTGCTCTCAGTGACAGCCTGTTCTTCTTCCATTGTATTGATAGCCCAGGCTTGGATACCTCACAGCAAAGGGTTGCTGTCCCTCCCTCCTCAATGGAGACATTTTTCAAATTTTCCTTGAAGAACAAGGGAAGCTCTGAGAAGATAAGCAATACATAAAGATCCAGCTTTGACATAGCTTGAAAAGCCAGGATTTCAATTGTCTTGCTCTGATTGAAGTTTATTCCTGCAGTATTTACCAAGCAGTTTATCAAACTAACAAACCTTTCACTGAGACAACAGCACTAGTCTCTGCTTCTCCTGCTTGGCAAGTGTAGCAGCCACTGTCCTCTGGTTTGATCTCCTTGATGTTAAGCTGTAGAAGGCAGCCTTCCTGCTTCATCTCATATTTCCTATTGGCTCTCAGAGGCACATTGTTCTTCTTCCACTGAACATAGACTCCAGGCTTAGAAACCTCACAGAAAAGTGAGGCTGTACCTCCTTCATCTGCCTTCATGTTCTGTAGATTCTTCTTGAAAAAAGCTGGGAGTCCTGGGAAAATAAGGAATTGTCATCTCAAACATATTTAGCATATAAATATATTTCAGTTGAACTTTGTTTTTGATAATTTATTGTGATAGTTAACTTCCCTCATCAAATGGTTGAATCATCACCTCTGATTGTCACATTAGCGGTCGTCTCTTTGTCTCCTGCTTGACATGAGTAGCTGCCACTGTCTTCAGGTTTCAAGTCACTGATGTGTAGCAGGAACAGGCAGCCATCTTGTTTCATTTCATACTTCCTGTTCGCTCTAAGAGGGAGTCTGTCTTTCTTCCACTGCACAGAAGCTCCAGGTTTGGACACTTCACAGCACAAAGATGCTGCTCCACCTTCCTCAGCCTCCATGTTCTCGAGCTTTTTCTTGAAGAAGGTGGGAAGTTCTGAAAATATAGAACATTTACATTTTGTTATTCCACTACCTAAAACTAGAAAGTTTTTCAGATTATTCTGGGGAGGAGAAGGTTAAACCTTTCACTGTCACAGTTGCTCTGGTCTCTACATCTCCAGCCTGACATGAGTAGCTACCACTGTCATCAAGTGTGACATCTTTGATGTGCAGCTCAAGGAAGCAGTCATTATGTTTCATCTCATACTTCCTGTTTGCTCTCAGTATTAGCCTGTTCTTCTTCCATTGCACAGGTAGCTCAGGCTTGGATACCTCGCAGCAAAGGGAGGCTGTCCCTCCCTCCTCAGTGGTTAGACTTTTCAAATTCTCCTTAAAGAAAGGTGGTAGCTCTGTTGAAAATACAAAATCATGCACAAAGGTTTAAGAACATGTGATCTAATTTGCATTAAAATATAAAATAATATGGGGAATACATGCCTAACAGAAATGCAGTGTTTAGCGGTGTATAAAATGCTGAGTTCAAATTGACAATAATTATATTTTGATAAGTATGTGTCATAATTAAGGACTTTAACACTGCAAACACTCATCTGCAATTTTCCAAATTTCAAACCTTTCACTGAGACAACAGCACTAGTCTCTGCTTCTCCTGCTTGGCAAGTGTAGCAGCCACTGTCCTCTGGTTTGATCTCCTTGACGTTAAGCTGTAGAAGGCAGCCTTCCTGCTTCATCTCATATTTCCTATTTTCTCTCAGAGTCACATTGTTCTTCTTCCACTGAACAGAGACTCCAGGCTTAGAAACCTCACAGAAAAGTGAGGCTGTACCTCCTTCATCTGCCTTTATGTTCTGCAGATTCTTCTTGAAAAAAGCTGGGAGTTCTGGGAAAAATAAGATATTGTAACGTCAAATATATTCAGCATGATTTAAATTCAGGAACATCTGAAATGTATTTTCGGTGGTTTATTTTAATAGCTAAATTCCCCCATGAAATTGAGCCTAATGACTGAATTGTCACCTCTGATTGTCACATTAGCAGTCGTCTCTGTGTCTCCTGCTTGACATGAGTAGCTGCCACTGTCTTCAGGTTTCAGGTCATTGATGTGGAGCTGGAACAGGCAGCCATCTTGTTTTATCTCATACTTCCTGTTCGCTCTAAGAGGGAGTCTGTTTTTCTTCCACTGCACAGACAACCCTGGTTTAGATAGCTCACATTGCAGGACAGCTGCACCTCCTTCCGCAGACTCCAAACTTCTTAACTCTTTTTTGAAGAATGGGGGCGTCTCTAAGGAAAGATTGAAGAGAAAAGTACAATGAATTCAACTTTCTGGTGTTGATATTTGACCAATAATCCAGAACCCGTTGAGCTTCACCCACCTCTTACAGACACAGTTGCACTTGTCTCTGCACTCCCTGCTTGACATGTGTAGCTGCCGCTGTCCTCAGGTTTAAGATCTTTGATGTAAAGCTGGAGAAAGCAGCCATCTTGCCTCACCTCATACTTCCTGCTGGCTCTTATCGGCAGCCTGTCCTTTTTCCACTGAATCGGCACTCCTAGTTTAGATATCTCACAGTAGAGGCAGGCCGAGCCTCCTTCTTCAGCTTCTACACTTTGTAGCTCTTCTTGAAAGAATGGAGGAAGTTCTGGAATAAAATACAAAAGCGAAATTTTTGTGAAATTTTATATCTGAAGAAACTTTTGATGAAATTAGAAAAAGACCACAGAATAAAATTAGACTTTTCAACCAGAAAACACAAAAAGAAAATAATTACCTGTTACAGTCAGTGTGAAACTGCTCTGCACATCTCCTGTATCACAGGAATATATGCCACTGTCCTGGGGCTCCACATCATGGATAAGAAGCAGATTGACTTTACCCTCCTTGCACATCTCATATTTATTACCACATCGAAGTGGGACATGGTTGCGCTTCCAGGTAACCATCGTGATGCAATCAGATGTAGCACAGGACAGGAAAGCTGTCTCTCCTTCCATGATGACACTGTCTTTGGGTTTCTCCTCAAACAAAACTACCATTTGAAGCCAAATGTTAAAGTTCAAATAAGTTCAAATGAAAACTAGATGATTTAATCTAAATGTACATTTCGTCCCCCATTTTTTCACCCACCTTTGGGCTTTGGGAGAACCAACAGTTTTGCAGAGGTCTTTTCCTCCCCAACTAGAAATGCTACATCGCCAGTCTCTTCTGGTGTTGTCATGGTGAGGACAAGGCGGTGCTGGCGACCACGGCACGTCATCTGGTTCATCTCGTTTTTCTGCAGAGGGCTCGAACCAAGCCACCATACGCCCTCGCTCACATCTGCATGGGTCAGCTCGCACACAAACACAGCGTCTTCTCCAGCTGTCACTGTTAGGTCTTGCAGTTCTTTCACAATCTTGACACGCTCTAAGGAAAAATAAGGAGCATTATCCAGCCAGCTCTGAACACACCGAAAGATTTTGCTTCACAACTGACTGTTTTTTAAATCAGGTTATAAGTTCCTCCAGAAGCACAAGCCCCCTCTGAAGAAAAGCAACCATGATACTCCCACCACAATAGCTTTGGGTTTCTCCTCACTATGTCTTAATATCGAAAAACATCCAATATTCGTCACAAATTCCTGCAGCTGAATCAGTTACTGTAAGCCTCTTCACATCATCTCTGACCTCTTTTCTGATTTTAGCTCAGTGATGCAAAATGACCAAGCTTTAAGTTCCTTCTGGTTAATCAGATTCTCTAAAACTGAGAGCAAGTGTCTACCAAAGAAGACTGGATGCCAGGGAAAAAGGAACTGTTTAAAAGGGTGTACAGCTTCTTTTATTTTATTGATTTTCTACCCAAAAATATTTGGATGTTTTTAAACTGCAATGCATGGCCTGTTTCTTAAATCAAACACTTTTTACTCATTTATATTGGTGTTAATTTTTTATATTAAATAAAAATTAACAGGGATAATACTTTTCACCTACCCCTCACAATCAGTTTGGCAGTGGTTTTCTTTCCTCTGGTGATGCAGCAATACTCTCCAGCATCTGCCAGCTGCAGTTTCTTAATCTCCAGAGTGTGCAGAGGGCCTTTTTTTCTCACTATGTAATGCACTCCATTTTCCACCACAGTGCCGTCTTTCTTCCAAGTGACAGGAACATTAGCACTAGAAACTTCACAGGACATGAGCACAGATTTCCCCTCCATAACCACTTGGCTCTCTAGTTCCTTCTCAAAGTAGACAGATGCAGCAGCTGGAAAACACAAAATGAGAAATTGCATTTGCACAAACATTATTGTTCACTCAAGGGCTTGGGAGGGTGGTAGATAATTATACAGCATATCTTTTAATCAGTGTGTCAAAATTTGTTGTACTTACCAAAACTTAATATTACTTAGCTTATTAATTTCCTTTGTTCTTTACATTATTTCAAGTTAAAAACAAGATAAAATGAAGCATTCAGTCATGAGGTAAATAAAGATGTAAATAAAGTCTTGTTAAGCCAAATTCTTTAGTCACTATCATCATTTTGGCTTATTAAAAAGTATATCCTGTACTTAATTTACAGTCTTGGAGATTAAGATGAATGCAGCTTTGATTTTAGATTTTACAATGAGCTCAGTTCAAATAAAAAATATGAATCCCAACCTTAAAAGGATTCAGAATGTAAGCATCATATTTCCCTTACCTCTCACATTGACTTCAGCTGTTGTCTTCTGACCTCCAAATACACAGCTGTATTCTCCAACATCCTCTGGTTGTATATTTCTGATGGTCATCTCAGCGATCGCCCCTTTCTGTGTCATCTGGAATCTCCCTCTGTGGTAAAGCTGGTCCTCCCCTTTCCACCACTGCACAGGCACCCCGGCCCGGGACAGCTCACAGCGCAGACACACATTCCCTCCCTCCGGAGCCTCCTGGTTCTTCAGACCCAGTTTGAATGTTAGAGGAATGGCTGGGGAAACATAGAGTCAAAAAACTTAATTTTCACAATTATTGCAGTATTTATCTCGACAAATACATTTTCACCACTCAAAACATAGCTTATGGTTTAGATGGAAAATACAATATGTATGGCTAACTTTGAAATAAATTAGAACCTCAACTGAATAATGCCAGAGTGACATGTGTTGCATTATAAAATGCCTCAATTAGTTAATTTTCACTAGAATGAGTTTTTATAACTTCCTAAAAGTTCAAGAAAAATAATAGATTTCTCATACTGCATAACATTTCTCCAAATCTTTGTTTTCAAGTAGCGACAATTCAATCAATCAATCAAGTTTATTTTTATAGGCCATGTCATCAATAAGGCAGTTCAAAGTGCTTTCCATCATAAAATTAGCAAGTGTCTATTTAGGTTTTCCCTCAAAAAGCCCCATTTTGCTGGGATTGATGATCTGAATGGTCAAGTATTGCACATAATTCTGGGGTATTGAGTTTTGCAAAAACTCTTGTAATATTTTGACTTTTTAACTAAGCAGGCCCACATACTAGTAAGGGTCTTAATTCTCAAGAACTGCAATGTGTAGCTACAGCAAGTCAAGGGATAGTTAAATATTAAAGTATTGCCTAGTTTCGCTAATTCACATTGTTTATTAGTATCATTTATATTGATAAATGTACATTACAGAAGCATAGTTTACATTAAAAAAAAACTAAAATGCAATCATTCAGTCTCCTGTGCAACATAAATAAGATTAAGCTGATGTGGTTGAGACAGTGTTAGGAGGGAAGACATAGATCCTGCATCATGCTAAAAAGTAAGAAATAAAAAGTTGAGAAGAAAAAGTATTGTGTCTTTTGATTTTCATTCAGTTTAAGATAATTTCTCTCAGACATGGAATCTGTTTCACCTCATCAGATTTATAATTTAGCAAGTAGTCTTACGTGTAATTGTGACATGCGCAGTGGTCTTGACATCTCCACACATACAACTGTAGAGCCCACTGTCCTCCAGTTGGGAGTTTTTGATGGTCAGCTCCATGATACTGCTACGATTTTTAATCTGGTATTTGAAATCACTCTTTAGCAGCTCTTTCCCTTTCATCCATTCCACAGCGAGGCCAGGCTTTGACAATTCACAGCTCAACGTCACGCTGTTTTCTTCCTCCACCTGCTGGTTCCTCAGCTTTGTTTTGAATGTGACGGGTGGAGCTGCAATATGAAGAAAAAGTTTATTACTTACGTTACCTTGGTTTTTTTGTTTAGTCCTAAAGTTTTTATTCAAGATTTCTTCATTTTTAAGTAAGCCTCCAGATCTTTTCCTAACTTTTACTTCAGTTCTATGATATTTAATATGCTCTAATAACTGATTCTTTTTTTTTTTTTTACTATGGAAAAATACCTTATTTCAACAAAAAAAGGGTTTCATTATACATATAGGCTACTGGCTGAAATTAACAGTAAATATAAGTCTCAGGTTTGGAAAAACAGCACATTTTCTTTCTTCTAACCTTTAACTGTGAGCTCAGCTGTGGATTTGCTGTCCTCTGTTTTGCAGGTGTATTTTCCAGCATCGTTCTCCTCCACGTTGTTGATGATCAGCTTGGTGAGACCGCTCTCTTGTTTCATCTCGTACTTGTAACCAGCCTTCAGGATGACTCTGCCTTTTCTCCAGTCGACCGGAGCTCCGGGTTTGGAGAGCTCACAGCAGAAAGCTGCGCTGTCTCCTTCCTTCACCTCCAAATTCTCAACTTCTTTCTTGAATGTCACAGGAAGAGCTGGAAAAAATTGTAGACAGTTTATGTACAGATGATCTATTTTAAATATATTTAAAGTTCTTATTTTGCAGAAAATTTTGTGTTTTTCCTATATGTAGAACATGAATTATACCTCTAACTTTGATGTCAGCTGAAGTCACAGCAATTCCAGCACTACAGCTGTATTCTCCTGCATCTTCAAGAGTTACAGTTGTAATCAGCATCTCTGCTGCTCGGCCCTCCTGCTTTATCTGGTATTTTTCTCCATTCTTCAGAAGTTGAGCATCTCTCCTCCACTCTACTGCTTGTCCAGGTTTGGAAAGTTCACAGCGTAATGTTAAACAACCATCCTCCACTGCTTCCTGGTTCTTCAGTTTTTGCTTGAATGTCACTGGAATTGCTGAAAAACAACCCAGATCCTTTACAACATCTTCAATAAAGAAAATGATTTCATTTTAAGATGGTAGTGGTGTGTCTCACCAGTAATTGCAACACTTGCTGTAGTTTTGACATCATCACAAATGCAGCTGTAAGAGCCGCTGTCTTCTGGGAGACTTTTTCTAATGAGAAGCTCTGGCTTGGAGCCGATTTGCCTGATCTGGTATTTCTCATCACTGGTCAGCACAATGTCATCCTTCTTCCACTGCACTGGGAAGCCCGGTTTGGAGAGCTCACAAGAGAGTGCCACGCCGTTTCCCTCCAGTACTTGAATATTCTTCAGATCTTGAATGAATTTAATGGGCCTTTCTACATTAAATAAAAATATATATATACTCAGACTGGGACCTGTTTATCCCAGTAGTACACTAAATTTTAGCACAATAATCTTTTTGTCCTTCTCTCTAAACTCATCCTCCTCACTGCATCCTCTCTTCATCAAAAATAATTTGATAAGATTCCAAAAACTTATTTCAGTTTTGTTAAAACCATTAAAGCAACAAAAAGGCACAAGTGACTCGACTGAACAAAATAGATTTATTACAGAATCAGTCATACATTTACATTTATAAACACTATCTGTAGCATAAACTAGTTAGATTATTGACAAGTCAGTGTAATTCATCACCCTGTAAATGTCTTGTCACCATTCATAATTTTTCTCTTTGCTACAAATCTTATCTTCATCATTTCCCCAAAAGTCTTAGATTTCCTTTAATTTAAATGTATCGCACATAGAAAGGGAGTGGCGAATGTGAATTACAAATAAAAGTGTAACAGTCCTTGGTTAACTGTATTTTGTTTTTGTTCAACTCAAGAAATGTCTTCTTAAATCTTAAAATGCAAGCTAATCATAATCTTACTTTTTCCAGACAAAGATTTGAAGTACATGAAGTTGCACTCACCATTCACAGTGATCTGAGCTGTTGTCCTTTCTTCCCCACATACACAGGTGTAATCTCCAGAATCCTCCACTGTGAGGTCTGTGATCTTCATTTCCACCTGCAGGTCTTTCTTCCTTATCTGGTACTTGTCTCCATTCCTGAGTAGCTGTCCTCCTCTCCTCCACTCCACTGAGTTAGCAGGCTTGTTGAGCTCACAGTGCAGAGCCACAACGTTGCCCTCTGTGACCTCCTGGTTAACTAAGGGTAACTTGAAGCGAGGAGGGAGATCTGTCAGTAACGAAAAACAAAACAGTTATTTTTTTGTCAAAAAAATAAATAAAACCGATGGCAGTAATGGCAGGAAATGGAGGATGTCTCAGGTGAAAGGTAGGTGTCCTAAGATGAATTGTCATGCTCATAATGATGTCTATCTATTCCGGTCATAAGCAGATATCGCCCACTTATACCAGATTACATGAAAATAATTATAATTTAGGATATGAGTCTTTAACTAGTTTGCACCATGACACAACACACCCTTGTTTTGATGTGGAATGACTCCAGTGGATCTCAGAAAAGTACACACCCCTGTTGAAATTCCTGGTTTTAGTAAAAACACAAAAACAAAGAAGAAATAATAATTTGAAAACTTTTCCACCTTTGATCCTTATGTGGTGTAGTTAACGTAATTTACAATCTAAGTTAATGTGTTTAGGCATCTTTAAATTGAAATTCAGTTTTCAGTCATCTTGGGTAAAATACCTAAAATACATAATAAATCTGCAGATTTCTTTGAACATTACTTAAGATGAAATAATGTTCAATTGTCTTTGAACGTTTTTCTTGACATTTGCTTATGTCCATCCTTTAGCTGAAGTCCTAGTTTGCAGAAGACACAAAGGATTGAAAGAAATTAATTGCACATAAGAGAAGTACAGAAAATTGTATTATAGTATTAGTTACTAAAAAGGTATGGCACTCTGCACTCTGGATAAAATTGTATTAAAATCTTAGAAAATCTTTATCAAGAAAAAATGGCAATGTACAAGACATGTTCACAATTTGACAGATTCTGTTAACAGCTACCATGTAATGTTAAATATTGCCAAGAAAAGGGGTTAAGCTACCAGAGAAGATTGAAAGCTGAATCTAAATATTTTCAAGTGATTTATAATTTTTCTACTTTATACGTTCATAAAAACAGGCATTTTCTACAAGGGTGTCTAATTTTTAAGATCTACTATGATTGACATGTAATTTCACTTACATGAAGAAACAAACTATGTAAAATACAATTGTTACTAATGAGTCAAGGATACATCAAGAAAGAAAAATATGGCAGAATGAACACAAAGCACAGCTACATTAAGCTACGTTTAGGATAAAAAGGTGGCGATATGAAGCAAAAAGTCTTCTTTAGGGTTTCAAGACATAAAGGAGCTGACACTGTGAGAGTGGAATTTTTGGTTTTTATTTTGAGGCTGACCTCTTTGACGTCTGCGCTCGGGTGATTCTGTTGAATACATGGTAAATCAATTTTACAGAAAGAAGAATGTAATCTTTGATATCATTAATAAAAAGTGTTCTGGTGTATTTTTTGAAGCCATAAAAGTTTTGCTCTCACCTCGCACTCTGAGCTCAGCACTGGATTGGCTGTGTTTAGTCTTGCAGGTGTATTTGCCAGCATCACTTTCCTCCACGTTGTTTATAATGAGTTTAGTTAGATGGCCCTCCTGTTTCATTTCATATTTCTCTCCTGGTTTCAGGATCATTCTGCCTTTTCTCCACTCCACAGCAGCTCCAGATTTAGAGAGTTCACAGCAGAAAACTCCACACTCTCCTTCTTTGACTGACAGGCGCTGGAGTTCTTGTTTGAATGTGACAGGAAGCGCTGTAGTGGCGTTTTTGAAAAAGAAAATTATATTTGGCTTCCAAACATGGTGATCTGTTCTTATTCTCTTGTAATTCTCAAAATTGTATAACTGCCACGAAGGTTTATTTTTATATCCCAACTTACCTTTGACTCTGATTTCCGCTGTGGTTTTCTCATCTCCAGTTATACAGCTGTACTTCCCTGCATCATCTGGTTGTGCACTGAAAATAGTCATTGCAGCTTTCCTTCCTTCAACCTTTATCTGGTACTTATCACAGCCTAACTCTTCTGACAGCACCTGACCCTCTTTCAGCCACTGAATAGGAACCCCTTTCTTTGACAGCTCACATTGTAAAGTCACACTATTTCCTTCTTCCACCTCTTGGCTCTTCATACTCACTTTAAATGTGGCAAGAACCGCTATTAAAACAGAAATAATTGAGAGAATTTAAACCAAGCAAGGGCAAGGCAAAGTACTTTAAAAAAAATCAACTCTTCCAATACAGTACTGGGAAGTAGTTTTAGAAATACTCATCATTGGCATGAATACCATATTAAGTTTGATGATGCATTAATGATGCATATACATTTTTTCCAGGATGGAATGATGGTGCAACATACAAATATAGTAAATTTTGAAAACATAAATTGAACGCACAGGTTTTCAATTTATTGTTAACTTTTCCCTAATTTGCACTTATTTCAAATTAAATATACAGACTCAAATATATCCATACTTCTCCAATGATATTTGGACTACATGGTTTTATTAGCCTCCAACACCACCACCACCATGCTTGACAGTCTGGACAGTCACGCATGGTGTGCAAGCCTCTCCTTCAATAATTCAAAATACTCTCACTGGCACCAACAACAAAATATTCTGAAGGCTTTTGGGTTTTCCATGTGGGCATTTGGAAATGTTATTTGTGTTTGGATATTCTGACTGGATCATGATCCCAAACACATTTCCAACACACTCCACTGGATAAATCAGGGTTATAAGTAGCCCTGACCTCAACAAAATTTAAAATATTTGGACTATGCATAGACCATGCCAAGAACCCTTCCAATTTAATTAGCCCTTATTTCACCAAAAATAAGGGTTAATTTACACTAACGTGTAGTGAGAATTGCATCCTTATTGACATGTGAATTCTACTGTTTTTCAAAATCTTGCAAAGGGATCTTCATCCAAATACTGTTTCCATATGGAGGATATGTATTTATTAATTTAGCTTACATTGTGTGAATTTGGTAAAAGATTAAGTTCAAGCTTGTGCACTCATTTTTTATGTTTTATCACTACAAAATATTGATTGAATACAGTCTTTAAAGAATTTGCAAGCACTAAATACTTAGGAAGATAAAATGTACTAAAATGATCTAAAAAAACCATACCAATGACTTTTACAGTGGCCTTTGTTTTCTGCTCTCTGCACACACAGGTGTAGACGCCGCTGTCCTCGGGCACAGCATCCCTGATGGTCAGCTCCAGGGTGGAATCCCTTTGCTTTATCTGGTACTTCTCTCCATTCTCCAACTGCTCTCCTCCAAGCTTCCACTCAACTGGGACACCAGCTTTAGAAATCTCACACTGCAGTGTAATGCAGTGTCCTTCCTCCACTTGCTGGTTCTTCAGCTTTTGCTTGAAGGTCACAGGAATGGCTAAAAGGTAAGAAAAAAAAAAAGGTATGTAGATCAGTTTAAGTTGACGAATAAAAGTAACCTTTTAAGAAATTCTAAAAACTATTTATCCCTGTGTTTTTGCATTAATTTCTCTCCTTTAATACAATATATTAAAAGTCACTGTAAAATGGCTGTTGTTTCTAAAACTGTTTGATTTAAGGATGTGATCAGCATCCATCTTTATTTAACCTAAATGATGTTTAAACTAGTTTAAAAGAATGTCAATCTGATAGAATCTAGTGATTCCAACAAAGGCAGATAATCCAAAATATAAAATGTTTCAGCGTAATTTTCTGTTTTCTTTATTAATATCATTTATAACCAGCATGACCTTAAGTCTGAATCTCTTCAACTGAAAAACAAACACTTGAATTGCATTGTGTATTTTTTTCTTTCTTTTTTTTTTACCATTTACAGTAAGGGTGGCTGTTGTCTCAATCTTTCCACAGATGCAAGTGTAGATATCACTGTCTTCAGGAGACACATCAATGATCCTGAGTTCAGTAAGTGTGTCTCTCTGTCGCATATGATATTTTTCTCCGTTCCTGATGACTCTGTCTCGACTTTTCCTCCACTCTACAGTTTGGCCAGGCTTGGAGAGTTCACAATGAAATGTAGCGGTGTTGCCCTCCTCAATCAACACATTCCTCAGCTTCTGTTTGAAGGTGACTGGCAGAGCTGAGGAGTTACATGTAACCATTGGTTAGACCACTAACTCCAGTTTATTCTTAAGCCCTAAGTTCATTCTTAGCCCATTAGGTAATACAATTTTACCGGTGATCTTGACTGTGGCAGATGTTATCTGATCAGCACACTCACAACTGTACACCCCACTGTCTTCAGGTACAGGTTTCCAAATCAGAAGCTCCAAAGCGGTTTCCCTTTTCCTCATCTGGAACTTGACACCGTTCCTCAGCAGTTCATGCTCCTTCCTCCATTCTACTGGTATTCCAGGCTTAGAAATTTCACAGCGCAATATCACACTGCTGCCCTCCTCAGCTTGCAGGTTCTTCAGTTTCTGGACGAATGTAATGGGAATAGCTGGAAAAAATATAGAACATACTGAACTTTCAACTTCTCAGATCACAACTACAAAACAGACTAAAATATTTTTTCGTTGTCATTTTCAAGATATATATATATATATATATATATATATATATATATATATATATATATATATATATATATATATATATATATATTATTATTATTTTATTTTTTTTACAGAAAAGTATTGTTGAAATAATAATGTGTCATGAGGTGGTGGTGGTGAGGCAGACGCTGGAGACCCAGGTGTAGTGAAAGGTGTGATTTAATAACAAAAGGTCCACAAAAACACAGTCAACAAACGTAGTCCGTGGCCAGGCAGCACGGCTGAGCGGAAGCCAGGGCTCAACGCCGGTAGCAACTGGTCATACAGGCGGCTAACACAAACAGGCAACAACGTACGACAATACGACAAGGACCCAACGAGGAACAAAGGACACAGGAGGGACTAAATACACTGAGGGTAATCAGGGGAACGAGACTCACCTGGGAACAATCAAGGGGAAGACAGGACAACGAGGAGAACTCAGGACACAGAAACTCAGAATTAAACACAGAAAAACACATATAATGCAGTTATAATAACAAATACTTTTAAAAATGTGAAACCTAAGAACTTCTCTGTCTCTTGCTGAGTATGTTACATATTTATAAAAGAGATATATTGTAACACAAAGTGTTTCAGTAAAACAGTAATCATTATGAACAAAATCTCAATTCATTCAATCTTACCATGCACTTTGAGACTGGCTGTCGTCTGGTGTTGCCTGCAGTAGCATGTGTACTCTCCTGAGTCCTCAGGCAGAAGAGCTTTGATGGTAAGAGAGATAGTGGTTTTCCTCTGTTTCATGACATACTTTTCTCCCGGTCGAATGTTCTCAAAACCTTTCCTCCAATGAAACTGGACTCCAGGTAAAGAATATTCACAGGTCAGTGTAACAGCCTCTCCTTCCTTGGCCTCCACAACATGTAGTGGCTGGGTGAACTCTGCTGGAATGGCTAAAGAAGACAGCAACTTTTACAAAAACCTGCTACAACTCTATAGACTTTAGTAAATAAGCAAGACATGGTAACAGTAAGTTGCACGTTTTATGTTCATACCTTTGACAGCAACGACAGCTGTGGTTGTGACAGAGCCAGCGCTGCACTCGTACACTCCAGCATCGCTGTTGCTGACCTCTCGAATGGTCAGTCTGGCTTCACAGCCAGAATAGGTGGTGAAGTATCTGGAGGAGTGCCACATCAGGCAGCCATCTTTGTACCATAAGATGTGACATGGCTTGGAAGTCACACAAGACAAAACTAAGCCTCCTCCCTCAAAAGCCTCACAGTCTTCCAGTGATTTGATGATGGTAGGACGCCTCTCTGGTAACATGAAGACAAACAGACTTATTATCTCTGACTGAAGTGTAAATAAATATTAAAATCTTATAGAAAGGTCAAAGTCCTTACCTCTAACTAGCAGTGAGGCGTAAGATCTTTTATCCCCTGCTACAAACGAAATAGTACCAGTGTCTTTGCGGGCAAGTTGTCTAAATGTAAGAGTGTGGAGGCCTCCTGGTATCACCTGGATCTCATTGAGCTCATTGGTATAAAGCAGAGTCTCGTCCAGATACCACTTGACCCCCCAATAGTCATCAGGACAAATCCGACACCTGAATGTTACTGTGTCACCTTCAAGGCACGCCACATCTTCTAATTCATCCAAGATTATCACCTTCTGCCCTGAAATAAGGGAAAGTCATAGCCACATGAAGACTAAATACAGTAGCTATTATCAGCTTTTAAACTTTTGTCACATCATAACCACAAACTTCAAAAATACTTATAGCACATTGGTCTGCTGGGCTCTTACATAAAGCCAAGCTGAGCCAATATTTTGTAGATCAAATCTGCCTGGGGGTTTCCCTTTTCAAATCCACACTTTACATATTGACTCACCCTGCACAGTAAGTTGTGCCCGGCTCTGCATGGTACCGACATCACACACATAAATATCTGTGTCTGTTTTCTCTAGGCAGGTGATGGTGAGGGATAGAACCTCTCCCCTCTGTTTGATGACATACTTCTTTCCAGATCTGAGCTCCACCATGCCCTTTAGCCATGTCACACGCTTGGCAGGCCGCCTGGTCTCACACTCCAGTGTCACTTTACCCTTTTCTTCTCCTCGAGTATCTCTCAACTCCCTGGCAAAAGTGTGCTGAAGTTCTAAATTAAAGAAAAGATAAGTTCAGTAGATTTTGAAAAGATATATAAAATGAAAACAATAATAATAATAATAATACAGACCTTTGGGCACTTAAATAACCAACATAATTATAATAATTATTATTCTTTTATCCTGATTTTAATAAGGTAATGCCATATGCTAGCATTATTTTAGCGCATTTCCATCAGTCTTTCTTCATATAAATTGCAGGAGATTTGTTCATACTATGAAATTAATCTCCAATTCCAGCACGTCCTAAATATGCTGTTTTATATTAAGATCTGATAACTTGTTGGGGTACAATAACCTCTTTGTTATTCTCGAGAAAGCTTTCTGAGTTATTTGGGCCTTTGTGATATGGTGCTTTATCCTGCTGGGACATAGTTTGCTCATAAAAAGATACTGATCATTTACACCAATTTCTGAAGCACTCATCCAAATCGTACAGCTAGAATCAAGACTCACTGGAGACGAGAAGTTTTTAAATTTTCGGTGAGCCAGTGTGAATCGTAGCCTCAAAAACAGATAAAATAACATCAGCTGTATCCCGTGAGACTCTTACTTCAAGTGAAAGATTAATAAAAAACCATAACTACCTCTGATCTCCACCTTTGCTCGGGATGCAACACCACCAGCCTCGCAGCAGTATTCACCGGAGTCTCTGATGGAGGCATTCTTGATCACCAGGCGTGCCACGTTCTTCTCAATGCTCATCTCATATTTAGGGCTCTGCCTGATAGGACGTCCATTTTTCAACCAACAAATGGTGACTTCTGGTTTGGTGATTTCACAGCTCAGCTCAGCATCCTCCCCAGGTACAGCCTTTACATTGAGCAGGTCCCTGAAGATGTGCACAGGCTTTTCTAAAGGAGAAAAAACACTAAGCGTCTTAATGTCTGCTTCAATTGGCAAAACAAGCTCATATTAATAAGATAGAGCTGTTCACCTTTCACAAATAACATGGTTCTACAACTCAGGTCTTTAATTGTGAAGACAACGTCACCAGCATCAGAAAGTACAACATCTCTAATTCCCATCTTATAGATGCGGCTGTTGTTGACAAGCTGAATGCGACTGTTGGTAACCACCACCTGACCGTTTATGGTCCAAATGGGTTCATCATCCAGTTCATGAGAGAGAAGGCACTCAAAAGTACAGTTTTCACCCTCCAGAACAGATGCTGTCTTTATCCGCTGAACAATGGTAACATGTAGATCTGCAAATACAAGAATTGATAAAACAGCCCCACGTGGTAAATGTGGTAAAGAGTTGACTGCTTCAGACTGAGCTATACCAACTGCAAAAAGATAAGTGATTAAACTGTCCACTACAGTTTACAGTCTCCTTACCATGTACTGTAACTTTAGCCTTGGACTGACTGGTGCCCAGGTCACAAGTGTACTGTCCAGCATCGTTCTTGTTCAATGAGTGGATGATCAGTGCCCTGATCTTCCCACACTGTACAAACTCATGTTTATCATCAGGTGTCAGGACAGTACCATCCTTCCTCCAAAGAGGTGTTACTAAATCTTTAGAGATTTCACATTGCAGGCAGACCTCTCCTTGCTCTTCTCCAACAACATCCTCCAAAGACCTTAGAAACACTGCTGGGCACTCTGGAGACAACAAAAGTTCAAGCACATTTATGTGTTTCCCTAATTCAGGTGTTTTTTTTTTCATTGTGCACTTCAGATAATTACGCATCTGACCTTTAACCTTTAAGATGGTGGTCTCATTGAGAAGGCCTGCTTTAAATGTTACCCTGCTCTCTTGTGGTCTAAGTTTTTGCATCACGAGGCTGTGCATTGTGCCCATGTGCTGGATCCGGTTGATGGCGTTAGAACTGAGGCGGACGTTGTTAACCAGCCACTCGGCATTGGCAACAACATAGTTGAGCTCACATGAAAAAGTGGCTGTGCCATCTTCCTCAACGTCAACAGGCTCAAGATGTTTGACCAGCTTCAATGTTTTTGCTGTAACACAAAGACACAAATGACCGTGATTAACCAAATGACATACCATAGGGATATTAAAAAGGCTTTGTATTTACCCACCTTCAACCTTGACCTGTGCTGTACTTTGTGAACCTCCAGCCATGCAGCTATAGTGTCCTGCGTCAGTCCCCATCAGGCCGTGAATGATCAGTTCCACTCGTTTCCCCTCTCTCTTCATGTTGTATTTGTTCGAAATCTTCAGAGCCGTGCGACCTTTAAACCACCGCACGACTCGGGGAGAGGGGGCAAATTCACAGCACAAACTCACAGAGCTGTTCTCCCTTGCTTCCACATCATCTAAGTGCTGAACAACCTCAAGAGGTCGCTCTAATGACAGGATACGTACAACAGACGATTGAAAAACATCCAAATTAACTAGAGTTCTCCAGTGCATGATCATTAGGTCTTTGTTATCAAGAAGAAATATAAACAATTTTTAGAAACTTCATCTAACAAATCTATCAAAGCAAATTGATCTAAATCCTACCAAGGCTCCAAATAAAAGCCACCAAATTACCACCAAAATACTTCATTGCAAATACAGATGAAGCAGTCATGTAACAAATATTTCATGGTATAATAGAACAAAATGTATTGTTGGTTTTAATAAAAAGCCATTTTATTTTCACATCTGGGAAATATAGGAAATTATTTTTTTCTTCACTGCCTTTAAAATCACATAATTCCTTGCAAATGCTTTTTTTAAGTATTTTCCTAATTGTTTTACATTAAAATATTGATGCATCATATTGGGATGTCATGATATCAAAATGTAATTTTGAATGGAGGGCAGAAAAACTCACCCTTCACAGAAAGTTGAGCAGTCGAACGGCTCTTCCCAGCCACAAACACCACAGGCCCTGACATGGAGCTGTCTGTGCTTGTGAAACAAAGACTGTGGAGGTTCCCCTGCCGGTCAATGTTCACTCCTGCAGAGTGCTCCAGGACCTCACTGTTTAGGGTCCACTTTGGGGGCCTCCCAGACTTTAGATTTGTTTCTACCTGGAATAGCGCAGACTTTGGCTCCATCACCTCCACAGATTTCATCCCCCGCACTATGCTGATGGCCTGCTCTGCATGTGCAACAATAACACATATTAAAGTGACCACACAGCTTCTGCTGCCTGATTTGTGTCTTCGAAGAAAAGAAACACAAATATATTAGCTGCTATTCATGATCCTGTACTTAAAGCTACGTTGTAAAAGTTGTACATTTTATGTAAAACAGATAGATCTAACACTATTTCTCATTCTGTTTTCTTTGACAGCAAGTATCCCTCCACACTCACCCTCCACTAAAAGTTGACATGAAGTTTTGTCATCCCCTGCATCACATGTGTAGGTATCTTCATCTGAAGAGCAAATATCTTCTATGGTCAGCTGCCGGTAGACATCCTGGCTGATTAGCTGATACTTCTTGCAGGGCAGGAGCTCCTTCCTGTTCTTGTACCATTTGACCTGAGCATTAGGCCGTGACACCTGGCACTCTAGTAAGCCTCTGTGGCGATACATGGCAATTTTGACCCTCAATGGTCGAATTATTTGGACTGGCAGCTCTGGCAGAAAAGACAAATAAATTGATGGTGAAGAATCTTTATCTTTAACGTTCTATTTTGATTGTGCATTGAAGATGTCAGATTTTGACAAAAAATGTGAACAGCAATGATCATATTGCTGTATGTCAGTTGTGAGTGTGTTGACTCACCTTTTACTGTAAGCGTGGCATTGGATGAAACCCGCTCTGCAGTGAATCTGATTTCACCTGCATGTTCTGGTCTCACTGACTTGAAGAGCAAAGCATGAGTTTTACCTGAAATTAGATTATTTTCAATACTGTTATATTTTTCACTTTCATCCATCATGTCTGGCTGTCTTTGAGTCCAGGTGTATTTTAAAGACTAAATGAGAAGAAAACAGTTGTGAACACCTGTACTTGTGAATGATTAATTTTCTCACCCTGATGTCTTATCTTGATGTTGTCTCCAGGTCGGATTCTGCAGTCATCACGATACCACCGACCATCCACATCCACCTGATTGACTTCGCATATAAAACTAACGGGTCGACGCTCAAGTGTATACACATCTTCCAGTTCTTTTTCAATACATATGTCTCTAGCTGGTAGAAAAATGCATAGGATGACTGCCTTGTTAATGAAAGAACTTGAAATGTGCTTTTTTTTTTTAAATGTTGCATCATTTTTTTTATACTTGATCAAAAATGAGTAAAATGTGAAAAAATGTTGATGAAGGAAACAGCATGAGATGATGATAATTCATATGTTCCTCACTTGAATACATTTATTGGAGAACAGAAAAAAATACCATAGTAAGAAACTATTCTTTCTAACAAAAATACTGATAGCACATGGTACTGTAACAGTTGCAATTGTGTGGTGTCTCTTTAAGACAGCTTAAGTTACTCTTTAGTGAGATCACAAGTATGCATCACTGCCCTCTAGGGTTATGAAAGAATGTATGATGTTTGATGAGAGATCAGCTGTTCAAGTGGGTTTTGTGAAGCTGATGTTTTGCTTAAAGGACAAAACATGGTATTCCAAGTTTTTGACTTGGAACACCATGTCGCCTTCTCTCAACCACTAAATACTAAAACAACCCTCTTCACAGCCCCCTAATACTTTTTGTTCCACCAGAGTATAAATATAACATGGCAGAGGGTCCTAATGGGTGTAACACCCCTATTGTCAAGTATGGTGGAAAATACACATAAATATTTGAGTGTGCTGCATCATCTTACCTCTAACAGTGAGTCTGCCTGATGTCTGAACCTCACTGGCCTGGAAACAGTATAAACCAGCATCTCCCAAAGCCACTCGGTTCAGGATGAGGCAGTGTTTCTTCCCTTGCGTGCTGATGCGGCAACTTGGTTTCGACTTAACCGGCATCCCATCCCTGATCCAAATGCCTTCTATGTAAGCCAGGTTAAGAGTCACCTCAAAGGAGCAGCTCTCACACTCCGACACCTCCACATCCTCCAATCCTTTCACCACTTTCAGTCGGTTCACTGGCAAGCACACAACATTAGTTTTGAGAGGCAGCTAATCAAAGCACAAAAACCACTGAAAATTGGTTTCGAAAGTCAGTTTGATTGGAAAGCCTACTTGCAGCTGCAACAATCCCTCCAGTTTTATTGTCTCCCATGTCTCGAGAGGATGATGGATGTTTATTTACTTTATACAAGGAATCTGCAGTGAAAAAAAAGAAACCTCAATCTCTTTCCACTCATTCGTTTAGAGATCAAATGTCACAATGACAATTTTGCCATTACAACAGAAACACACAAATGCAATGACCTAACTCACAGCCTACTACTGAAAATGTGTTTACTAGAGTCCTGACCAATCAAAGACAAAAACCCAAATTCTTATTTTCTCACATAGGTGTAGAATCTGGTTTATGTGTCCTTGAAATCACTGTATTTGATGCTTTGTGTTGCACTTGGTGATGTAAGTCTCACAGGTAGCTGGCCGTTCTAATGAAGGCCTCATGAAGCTCTGAGGTCTGTAACTGGACCTCTATTTACTATACAAGCCAATATCCACAGAATCCACTATGGGATTTTTTTGGAACGACTCCTGTTTTGGCCAAGTTGCTGTTATTCCTAGTTGCTCCACTTTGTCATATCCCTAATAATTGACTGTGGAATAGTTTGAGGAAATCTCAGGACTGGATGTAATGCACAGGTGGCATTCTATCATAGAAACACATTTTGAAATCACTGAGCAACTCTTTCTTTTACAGATCTTTGTAGAAGTATTCTGCACAATTAGGGGCTGGGTCTTAAAACACATGCAGCCATAAAAGTAACTGGAACATTTGAACATAGCGACAAGGTGTTAACCCAGTATTTTTGGCATTATGGTGTATCAAAAGCCATCATGAAGAGATGACAGACTGACAACAATATGTCAGTAATGGTGTAAATCTAATAAAGAAATACATTTGACAAAACATAAAAATAAAAAGCTTGATGTGAAAATACTACCAAATGTTTAGATTTTAAAAGGACTCAGGTGTCCTTTTAAAGTCTTGACTAATCTGGAAAAGATTAGTCAAGGTTTTACCCTTTTAGAAATTATAAGATGTCAAATGCAGTGATTAACTTACTTAAACTTGCAGATAGAATGTCCTTACATCCATTTTGTTGCCTCAGGAAAATGATAAATGATCCATTGTAACATCAGATCTGTCAATCCCGCCTTATACAAAGCCTTCAAGTTGAATGGAAAAAGCTTAACCAGTAAAAAGTAAGTCCAAGTTTGCTTGATACATCCAGGTCTCTAAAGTTGACAGCCTTTAATACGCTTAGTGTTTTTGTGCTGTGATGGAGCAGGGTGCCGAACAGCTGACATATCTATCCCCACATACTAACCTCCAAAATAGCATTCTGGCAGTGTGAAGGCAAAGATAGCTTTGGCTTTAATTGTGCTGGGAGGCAACTTGTTTTCAGCATCAATGAAACCATCAACAATCTAAATCCAAACTACAGGATTAGTGTGTTTGATGGTTTTCTCTGTGCATGAATGAGTGGCTCACAATTTTCCTGAAAACAATAAAGAGACCTTCTTGCATCGTGCTGTAGCTTGAGAACCCTCTCTTTAAGTGCTCACTGATGTCTGGCATTAGTTTAAACTTCAGGTCAGATGAAATCCTTTCCATGGATCTCCAAGGAAGGGTTTCCATCTGCTGCTGCAGTGGAAAGGACATCAAAGATTAAGCAGCATGAAGTATCCCATTTTATTGAATAAAGACTAAAAAAACGAGTTCCAAAAAATATTTCCACACAACACTGATTACATTTATTTCAATTTGGATGAGTTGAATAGTAATAAGTCAAAGTAATTCATACATTAGTTATCTTAAATTGACAACTCTCTCACTCTCTTTCTTTGCTATCTCCATTATATCTTCTTTATTTAAGTTTATGGGTCACCCTCATCTGCATGAAACCCAGCCAGCAGCAACTACTGCTGTGTCTAAACCCCTGTGATGGACAGGTCCATGTGCTGTGGAGCTTTGTTAAGACCAGTGAAACTCTAGCGACATAATAATCTCTGTTGAGTCCTACCGGGACACAAGAAAACAACTTGTCGTCACACAGACAAGAATAGCAGTACAAAGAATTAAATTGCTATCTGTTCACAAGCCCTTATCAGCAGTTTTTTTTTTATTTCGTTTTAACTCAAATTGTCTTTGACATTAAATAAAAAAAGTTTTAACAGAAGAAGGCTTTGCTTTTTGGACTATTTTCCTTCCATCACATCTAAAAAGATATTTGAAAAAGCACAAAGCTTGCAAAAGTAACTTAGTACAGTGTAACCTTTTTAGGGCGTTCACAAAAATAGGTCAATTTTAGCTGAATAAAGCCAATGTGAGTATGTGTTGAGTGAACTTAGAACCTGACGAAACAGCTGACCGCTTCACCTAAGCCTCTACGTCCATCTTTGGATCAACTAACACGTCCATTTTCTATCTCTCTTCCTTCAACCCTGAATTTCTACAGGTCACAGAGGTGATAAAAACAAAAAGTCAGTAAAAAATCCTGTCACATTGCAAACAACCCTAACCCTTACTTGACCTTCAAATAGAGTATCCAAGTAATCAACATGTAAAACAGTAATCATGTCTTAAAACACAAATTCTGTAGTGATTAGATGTGGTAATCATGTTTCATAACATTCAGTGCCATAAAAAAGTGTTTGCCTCCTGAAGTGAAGATGAAAAACAAACCACAGAAATAAATATGAGAAATCTTTATTATAAAGACATTAATTAGAACCGTACTGAACTATAGGAAACATTAAAGTGGGATTTCTTCTTCCATCATGTATTCAACACAAAAATAAGGGCATTTGTGTTTGATAAATTGCCTCTTTTTCTTGGCAATGCATCTTACTCCTTTGAAAGCTTGTTAATTTCCTCTGAATGGTGTTGCATTTGTAAGGAAAAAGCTTTTAATTGTTGGGCAGCACAGTTGAGTGTGTTGGTTGTGCCCTTGGAAAAACTTGCCAGATCCTCTTTGCCAAATGCCAACATCTTTTTCTGCAACTGGCTCTTGTTTGACATCTCTTATTCGATCAGATGATTGAAGTCTGAAGAAACAAGACATATTACTAATTTAATTACTTAACAATGTGTGGTGGTCTCAGCATACAACCACCACAGGCTGGTACTTCTAGCTCTCACTGGTCACTCATTTGATCACACACACCAGTGTGGGATCACTTCCCACCACTTGGTGTGAAACAGCCAATATGGTTGTGTTACTTATGTGTTACTAGCACTAACTCCAAAAACCTTCAAGGGGGTAGGTATAGAGGTGTCTGTGTTTTTTTTCAATAACTGAAATGGAAGTTGAATCAGTTAACTCTGTCTCGCCCATATCTTATGAAGCGATGTAGATTCAGACGTGCATCAGCGGACTTGTATAAGTCTGCTGAACTCATGAAGTGATAACGTATTGTTTGATTTTAAACGTAATGCTGCTTTACACCTCCAGTCGTTTTGCAGTGTCGACTGTATTTTCTGCACTTCCTTTGGAGAAATATGAATGGCAAAAATTGGCTGAGCCGATTCCTCTTCGTAGCATAAGCCCCGCTGTGATGGGGTGCACATTGAAGTGTTCGAAAATAGAATTTGGTTTCTTAAAGTGGAGATATTGAATTGCCAATGACTGCAAAATCTCATCTCGATATCTCTGGGATTACAATGGAGCTTTAAAAAGTATTACATTCATACAATGAAAACACTCCACTTTGTTATGCCAACAAACGCATTTTCCTTTAAGATGTGGTACAATTTAAATAAAAAACATGAGGTTTTCCAAATATATAGGCTTGATGCCAAGTGATGTAATAGCAACAAATACTGACTAAACAAAATGTCCTTACTTTTTGTGCAGTTTTATTTTTTCTTTTTGTTCTTTGTCTCTTTCGCTTTAATTAGTGCTTCTTCTTTTTCAGCAGCAGCTTTAATTCTTCTTTTTCCTAGAGGTGTTTTTGCATACCAGTTCTGAAAAAAAAACAAAGAAAATGTTTTAAATACATACCTTAAAAATATAAAATATTATATTCTGAAAACAGACATAAAAGACTACAACTTTAACCATACAATAGTAAGAATCAGAATTCTCCTTCTAAACCTGCTTTAAATTGCTTTTTAAATATTGCTGCTTCAACATACTTTTATTGCCTCTTCCTCCTTCTGGAGCACAGGCTCAAACTTGGCAAGTGGTACAATAAAATCATCAGCAGTGAGGGGTTGCTTTGTCAAGTCATTGATGCGATCCTTGGTGACAACACTGCTGATGACATGCAGCATGTGGCCTGGAGTGTAGCCATCAGTTGCCTTCGTCAGAGAGGTGAGGTCCAAAGCGTTTGTTATTTTTCCTCCTTGCTTTTTAATAAGTTTCTCCCACAAAACTAAAATTACACAGAATAAATAGTTATCTTATTTCACATTGCTACAAATTAAATTTTCATCCTTTTGTGTTGTGTCTTTACTGTATCTTGAGCCGTAGTCAGGTCTTGGAATGAGGATGATTTTGCCATACATTTTACACATCGCTTTAATATCAGAGTTTTGAGGGCCTTTTGTTGTTCCGATTATCAGGACACGATCTTCTGGTTTGATCAGTTTGAGACACTTGGGCAAATCTTTTTTCAGTCGCCTAGGTTCCAGCTGTTCATAAACACAAAAGAGTTAAACTGCAATGAAATTAAATCAATCAACATGTTTTATTTTACAATATGACAGTTTTATAATGTTTTTTTTATTTATCTAAAGTACCTGTTCGTCATCCTTGGGAACTTTTTTGTAGAACATTTTCTCCGCATCTTGAATCCAAATCACAGAGGGTTGCAAAAGTCTTGCAACCTGAATATAAATCGATTATGAAAAACTGCTTTTGTACTGTTTGGCTAATCGACTGCTAAAAGAACATTCAGTACATAAAATATTTTCAGTGATTATTTGCAACTCTGTACATTGTTATAGGTAACTTCTATAATACAAAAGAAACAAAAACTCGTCCATCTCTGACAATCATAGTGTTTGTAAGCCAATAAATTATCTTTCCCAAAATTCTGACGCGTTCTGAAGACTAAATGGATATTTTGATCTGGACATTTTTGGATTAGACTTATTAAAGGCAAAACAAATAAACCACAAAGAAAGAAATTCTGAAAGAAATTTTGTCAGCATGAACTCTTAAGCAACACCTTCTCTGATTCTTATGTTGTTTTTGTTACTTTGTCACATCAATCTTGCCAGATTGATGTGACAAAGGTTTAGAAAACCTCTGATGTGACAAAGGTTTAGAAAACCTCTGCTTCTCAAATTAGGAGAAAACCTTTTCAAATAATGTCTGTGGAAAGTACTTAAAAATTAGGTGTTTTCTGCTGACATTTCTATATAGCAACTTTGAAGGACGTCCTCAATCTTGACATCCAAGTAATATTAGAAAATTGAAGCAATGTTTTGGCATCCAGAGTCCTACCTTAAACACCATATGAAGCATCATGGTCAGTCCAGGCTTGCCTGGGTACTTTCCCGCTGTGTTATGGGGGGACAAATCAAACAGAGTGGACCCTGTCTCCTGGCAAATTGCATGGACCAACATGCTCTTGCCCACACCTGCCGGCCCCACCAGCAGTATGGACTTTATTAAAGGAGCCTTCTCATGAACCTCTGGAGTGCCTGCAAATCACATACAGTTCGAACCATACATGTATCATAAATTCATTTTTACATACATTAATATTATTAAATTAAGTTTCATACCTAATGGTAAAATGCCATATAAAGATAAGACTTGACGGACATCTAACAATGATGGCATCGGCTCGATGTCACTTTGTCGCAATGTAGTACCAAGATAATTATAGTCACCTGAAAAGCAAATAGAAAACAGTAATTGTATTATTTTTGATTAAGAGCGAAATGAAGTCTCTTTAATATATAGAAGGTAGTTTTATCATTAAAGAACATAGCACTGTCCTTAATATAAAAATGTATCTTAAACAGGCAGCATATCATGCAAAATCTATAAATAAGCCTCAATAAACAGTTATTATAAACAAATTTTACAGAAACTACATTCACTAAAGACTTATTAGTTTAATCAGTTTTCACATAAGCTGGCAAAGGAGCCAGAAGAGGGCAGCACATCATAGCTAATAATATGGCAGATAAAAATTTATTTAAGAGTATGGTTGGTACCACACATCTCTTGCAATCTGAGGTAAACATCACAAATACAACTACAGAAAAATATATTTACCAATGTCTTACCCAAAAAATCTTGCATCCGATAATTTTTTGCCCGTTTCAA